TCTTATATTCTCTATTGTCACCTGGTCATAGCAAAGACTTTGACAAAAATGTTCATTACTTCTGCAAAGCCAGGTGCTATCCCAGAAGTCAGGCTTTTGAAGGCTACCCTGATTATCTTTGATCCATACAATGTGGCATTTACAGCAGAAACAAGTGAGAGAAACTGTTAAAGTAAGTCTAGCATGATGCAAAGCTGAACTCTGAGGGGGAGACTCCCAGATACAAGTAAAGGAGGAAGAAAAGTTTCTGAAGTTCTGTTTGCAACAAAAACACGCCCTTTAAGCTGCAAGAAGTTTCAAATCCTGGTTTTCCAAACAGACCTGTCGCTTATAACCACGCAGGTGTGCATATATTTCTATATACGTGGCATCTACACAAACATGTTATGCCCAGACACATAATATAAGCATGAGTATACACATCCTATGAAGCAATTTCTTATCTCCTATTATCAGACAGTAAGTTCTTATTGTTTGAAGCAAACTGAGAAAAGATAACTACTCATACTAAAACTGCTTCCAGCTCAAAGGATGCTAATGAAGCTGTAAAAATCCAAGAGATTCACTTTAAGGAAACCTACCTCTGATACCATGTTTCCAACAAAGCATGTGATGATTTTCTGGCAACTGATGCTTGGAAAAACAATTTGCCTTACACTAAGTACACTAAAAATATTTAGGTTCTCATAGCTTTGTAGCATCAAATTCAAAACAAACGAAATGAGGGCTACTGTTTTGGAAACACAGTTAGGACACCAAGATCTTTCTGTTCTAACAGCATTAAGTCAAGTAAACACTGAAGTCCACCAAGTGGCACTTAGAATACATGACTCTATTTTTCCTAACACCAACTATTAAAATGCCTGAACAAAGCTCCTTTTTGCATTGAGATCTAATTTGACTTCTTTAGGACCATCCTTTGGCAAAAAGGCTGAACTCTGTATATGGGCACAGACCCTCCATAAGCTTAAGGTCTCATTCCCTCTGGTAAATCAGCTACTCGTGGGGGTCAGTGAGACACTACACGCTGTAAGAATATGGCAAGAATTTTGGAGAGCTCTCCAAACAAGAAAGGCAAGGCCCAGCCCACTGGGGAATACTGAAATGATTTGCCATTCAAAAGCGTTCCTGCAAATGCCCTTTGTGTCACTATTACTGTAAGAGGCCACAGCCAGCTGTATTTACTGCCCAACATTAAGGGCAAATGATGCCATTTGAGCTCAATGGGAGGCTCTGGGCATGCTTTCACACAAACTTCTGTCTCAGAACTGCTTGACACCACTAAAAGATTACAGCTCCAGCAGAGGTTTTCGAAGCTTCATGACATCAAGCTGCAAAGGAGTCCAATTTCACTCCCTTAGCAGTGTTTGCCAATCTATTGCTGGTCCTGGTACAGACACCACAGCAGCATCTAAATTATCTATGCTATCTAAAACTTTCTTCATGTTTTAGACATCATTTCCTTTTTAAAGCAATAATACCAATATTTCTTGAGAAATGATATTGAGGACTACTAGTTAAAGAAATAAATTTTATCTTCATTGGCTGTTTGAGCATACGAATAATTTGTTGACCTGCAGCTTCTTCTCTAAAGTCTTCTGCATCTTCTGGTATAACTCAGAAACAATCCCTCAATTACTCAGCTAGAGTCCAATTAGAGGCCTCAATCTAATTTCCATTCTTAAACTGATGGGCTCTTCTCCAAGAACAAAGTATTTTCCCACACAAAGTCCAGTAACGTTACTCCAACTCAGAATTTCACCTACGTAAAGAATGTACAATAACTTTACCAGCAACATGAGTGGTGGTTCCTGACAATGTCCTCAGACCATCCATCACTATCAACATCACCATTTTGAGTTGTTTTACTCTATGCCATACCCAGTGGTGTATCCTTGCTTGGGGAAAAAGCAGGATTCAGCTGAATGTGCAGAGAAGAGCAACACTTGACCTGCATCTCAGTTTCCCATGCAATGCAGCATGAGCTGCTTCTACCTTTTGTTCAGCACAAAGGACAAATGTATTTCACCTTTCTTCTACTACTGTTTGCAGGAAGTAAATCTTAACTTTAATGCAAGGTAAACATCCAGAAGTATTAACAATCTTTAAAACAAAACAAATATTTACCCGTAGCACATTGCAGATCACCTCATTTTAAACATAATGCCTGACAGTAATTTTGACCATATATTCATTGCTACTGTCAACAGCTTAAATGGTTTCTACCCTGAGAGTGGATCGTGACTTTTGGTCAATATCAACGCTGCTTTCCACAAAGTACATCATAGTTTTTTTGTGTGATAACAGAGGTTATTGTTCCATACAAGAACAAGCTGACTTCTGCACAACAGCATTTCCTCTAACTTTGTTTCTTTACAATTTCACTTGCTATAAAACATGATCTGGAGTTCAAGTCAGACAGGTTAAGTTGGCTCATTAAGTGTGCTTAAGTAGTCATCATAAGAATATGCAAGGTTTTATTAATAGAATATGTACTGTTCAGTTAAAAAAGGTCTTCGGACCAGATGCCACTTTTTGTTCTAATTTTCTCTGGTGCCTTAACACTATGGGGTTGGGACCTCCATGATCATTACACACACAACTGCTCCTGAGCATTTGGAAGAGTTGTGTCAATTTCAAGGGTTATCTCAAAGCTAGATTTGACTGAAAAAGTGCCTTCTTTTACATTTGTTACACACTCCTTGCAGCACCTAATCATTTGGAGTCTCAATTGTCCCTCCTACTCCATAAACTCAACTGCTCCCTCCAAGGTTATATTTTGACAAGAGTTTCAATTGCACAGCCTGCTCTGCATTGAGAACTTCAAACCTTTAAAGTTTTCTGTAGCGATACCTTCCACAAGGAAAAAAATGTTATGATCCATTCCTAAATATATCCTTTTTGATATAAAAAGTGGTACTTCTTGCTCCAGGTATAGTCTTCAAAAGTGGAGGACTTTTTTTTTTTAATGTTCTTGAGAACGTTTCACCTGTCTAGGCTGGTCCTTGATAATCCAGATTGTTTCTGCATAATGAATTTATTAGTGTGTTAACTATAGTCATGACAGAGATTATGGCCAATGATCGCTTATAAATCCTTTGCCGCATTGTTTCTTCTAAAGCCTGTAGTTTGCACTATGCTCTTAATAAAATCATAGTACAGCAACTGTATGATGTAATAAAGCTCACCTGTGCATTCCTTTCTAGTACCCTAAGTTAGCTTAACTGCACTATAATTAAAAAGCTAGAGGCAAAGACAAATCTAAGTCACATGCAGATTTAATAAAGAGAATTTAGATTTGGTCGCCTCTTATCACTTCCAAGGCACTTGCCCAGGTCCCACTCAGGTGGAGCTTGCTGCCGGTCTTTGAGGCAGACAGGACAGTCACTGCACTGTGAATACACATGCCCCACATCCCACAGATTCCCAACAGACATCCAAAATTTCAGCTGCTACAGAGACGCTCTTCACTCAATTTTTCATGCAGCACTGATGACCCCTAATGGTGGAATATTTCTTCCACTGAGCAATATGCAGAAGTTTACTTTCCAAAGTATCACTCTAGTTAGTTTACAGCTCCCTCTTGCCTGCAACTACCAGAGTAAACTGCTTGGGGCTTACTTGAACTGTAACAAAAGCAGTCTTTTCCCTTTTAATTCTGACTTCATATGCAAAAGTATCATAATAGAAATACACATTCCAGATTTAATTCTAGGACTTAATGTCACTTTATTTTCTGAACTGGATTATCTTGAAACAAATTTCAGTCATGCTAGTGCAAGTAAACCCTGCAAAAAGTCTTCTAAAAGCAGATGAGACATACAGTCAAGTGTACCAGAAAGCAAACAGCTTGCACTCAAAAACCTTTTCTGAATTCTTGGGTGAGCTATGAGATAATATTGCAGCTTCAGCATCTTTGATACTCAGTCATCATTTCATTAGAATTGAATAATCAACAAAAATAATTTTATTTCCAAAGTTATAAAATATAAAATAGTTATAAAATAGTACTATTCTAGCATTAAATCAATACTAAGTGCACGTAGAGCATAAAAACTTCATACAGTTTTTATATTCTGATACCATTAAAGTTGTTTGGGATTTTTTTTTAATTAAACTCAAAAACATTTCAAAGCCTACAACTCCTACTGGGATTGTCAGGGGAGATTTCAGCTGGACGTTAAGAAATACTACTTTTCTGAAAGAGTGGTCAGGCACTGGAATGGGCTGCCCAGGGAGGTGGTGGACTCACCGACCCTGGAAGTGTTCAAGGAATGTTTGGATTTCGTGTTGAGAGACATGGTTTAGTGAGAACTATCGGTAATAAGTGGATGGTTGCACTAGATGATCTTGTAGGTCTTTACCAATCTTGGTGATTTTATAATTCTATTCCTACATCTGGGCTGGGAATTGGAGGTCATTTTTAACTGTGTTACAGACGCCAGGTACACAAAACAAAGTTTCACTTTTCTCTTGAGAGAGATGAGTATCACTATCTGCTCCATTTTAGCTTACTTGGCACTTGCATCTATAGCAAGAAAAGGAAGAAGTTAACTGCATTATCTAGGTCTGACCTAAATGTGCCATTATTTTTCCAGGTTGAGAAAAACATGCATTTTTTAAAAGAAAAAAGCCAAGAGCCCTTGGCAGCTTACTGATTTGCTTACTTTCTTTTAACAGTATTGCAAGACAAAAATTGTGCAGATTTCATTTGAGTCTGCAAAGCAAGAAAATAAACAAGAACCTACAGATATTTTCAGACTGCTCAATAAAATGCCTATTTTCAAACTCTCTGCACAGTAATAGTAGCTAAAGTTACACAGCTAAGTCTCCTGAATTGGCAGTTCAGTTTGGAAGTTAAGGTACGTAAAAATCTAACTGATGAATTTTTAATTACCTCTGGGATCAGTTAACTTGTGGGGGGTTCTTTGTTGTTGTTTTTATTTGCTTTTCCTTTTTTGGAAGAATAAGGACTGCAAATACTTCATTATTTGGATTACCTTTCTCACATCTGAGCTCTTTGGTTCTGTTGTCCAAGTTATAATTCTAGACACAGCAAGTCTTGTCTCACTAGAGTTCACAAAGTCCGTCGGATCCATCTGTCTTGCCAAGGACTCAATATATTTCAGGATAGCTACTTTCACCTGAGAAGCGAAAAGGCATCCGTTAAAATCCCACAAGCTAGCAAAAATAGAATTATCCTATCATAAACAGATATTGCTACAGATTGACAAGACTTGTGCCACACTGGGGAAAAAAAAAAAACCCTTCCCTGCTGCATCTCTATGTCAGTTATCAAAACCAAACAACTTCCTACACAAGAAAAATTTGGTCTGGAATGGTCCACCAGAATAGGCTCAAAATATGCACATGCCTGCTTGTGCGTTAGTGTGAGCACATGAGGACTCCACCACACTGTTTCCAACAGTATGGAACATTTTAAAGTGCTGCAGTTTCATCTGATTTCCAGAGTTTATGGTGTTCCCATAGCCTTGAAACAGCAGCCTCCTGAAAAACAATCTGCACAGCAGTACCCTCTTAAAAGGATTTATTAACAGAAAGCTCTGCATCTTCTCCAAATTCTACATGGACTCTATGAGTTCTGTGCAACAAGCATTTTCACCCCTGTCACTGTCCAGAGGGACCTTGGTCCCTGCTGTCCTGCACAGGCAGGTTTCTTCCCATCAAGATCAGGATGAGGAAGAATTTTCAATGTTTAAACTTTAATATTTTTTAGTGTGCCTAAAGCCCAACACTGATTTGTGACAAGTCAGAAAGCCTTATTTTTCAAAAATTTAGATTTATTAATATAGAGAAATAGAGAGTGGGATTTTCAGAAGTGTACTGATAGCCAACCTCTGCTGAGGTAAAAACAAAAAACAAACAAACAAAAAAAAAAACACAAAACAACTCTTCTAAACCTCACCATGGCTGTCTCTATAGCTTTGGATATTTAAAAAAAATACAGACAACCTCAGTATCAACAAAAGTCATCTGAGTCAGGTTTCTGGAAACTATCTTTCTTCTTTTACAAGATATGCAAATTACTGCAAAAATTTAATCAAAGCTGCTGATATCATTCTTAATAGCATCAGGTGCTGGCAATTAGTCATCTTGTCACAAATCGTGTTTTCATTATACCTCAGAAGGTAAACTAAGATGACCATGCTTACGCTTGATTGAAAAGGTTTGATACTGACCTTGAGGTTTGGTGTTTGCGTCTGATCCACAATAAACCTCATCAAAATGTTAAATTGTTGATCAAATGGAAAAGAATCCCTGTCCAAAGAAAACCAAGCCAAAAATGTGATGCAACACACACTCCCAAGACTGAATTAACTACATACATAAGAAGGTACATAGCCAAGTTCAGCACCTACAGCACTTTTGTTCTAAAGTTTATCATCAACCATTCAGAAAATTCCAAGTTTAAGAATCAGTTGAGTATTGTTTCACTACAGGCTAAAGACTGCTAAATCAATATCCACTATACACTGTTACTCTGCCTTCTGTACACTTCACCAGTTTTTGGCATACCTGGCCATCTTCATTTCAGGCTGTGTTTTTTTTTCTTTTTCTTTTTGCCTCATCTCTAATAGGAAACTGGTTTCTCTTTCCCACAGAGTCCATATCTGGCTTTCATTTCTCTTCTCTATCCTATTTTCTCCTATCATAGAATCACTAAGGTTGGAAAAGACCTAAAAGATCACCCAGTCCAACCGTTCACCTATTCCCAACAGCTCCTACTAAACCATGTCCCTCAACACAACATCCAGTCTTTCCTTGAACACCCCCAGGGTCGGTGACTCCACCACCTCCCTGGGCAGTCCATTCCAGTGCCTGACCACCCTTTCTGAAAAGTAATACTTCCTCATGTCCAGCCTGAATCTCCCCTGCCGTAGCTTGAAACCATTCCCCCTGGTCCTATCACTAATGACATGAGAGAAGAGGTCGACCCCCAGCTCACTACAACCTCCCTTCAGGAAGTTATAGAGAGCAATGAGGTCTCCCCTGAGCCTCCTCTTCTCCAGGCTGAACATTCCCAGCTCCTTCAGCCTCTCCTCATAAGCCCTGTGTTCCAGACCCCTCACCAGCTTTGTTGCCCTCCTTTGAACACGTTCCAGGGCCTCAATGTCTTTCTTGCAGTGAGGGGCCCAAAACTGGACACAGTACTCGAGGTGCGGCCTCACGAGTGCTGAATACAGGGGAACAATCACCTCTCTGCTCCTGCTTGCAACACTGTTTCTGATGCAAGCCAGGATGCCATTGGCCTTCTTGGCCACCTGGGCACACTGTCGGCTCATGTTCAGCCGAGCATCAATCAATACCCCCAGGTCCATTTCCTCTACGCAGTCCTGGCTAACTACTACTACTACTACTACGTTTGTTTGCTTTTAAGTTACTCTTTTCCATGGCAAGCTGAACTTCATTGTAACTATGTCCTGTGTTGGAGGTCCTTAGATGAGGACAGGGAGTACAGAATTGGTGTGCAAAGAGCAGTTGCATTCAAGGTGTTATCTCTGACATTATCTGTCAAACACATTTAAGATGTTATGAATTTTGTGTTAAAGAATCATTTGTTTAATGAACATGTAAAGTAATTGTTTTCAATAAAAATGAAAACTGATGTCCAAACACATGCAAACTAACATAACTGATCAGTTATACACTTGAAACATTATGCTTTAGGTACTGTGACATAGTTTTGTTCTCATTTATGCTGGTGTTCCTCAGGATTGAGGCCTTAAAATACATGGTGCCACTGGGTTTCTAAAACATCCACCATGTGCCTTCCCATCATCCTGTAAAAACCTGCACAGTGTTGCCATTTAAGTACTTTACCTGGTGACATCCAGAGCTTTCTGAACTTTCGCCTGCACAGACCCCAGCAAATCTGCTCCCATTTTCTTCAGCAACTGTGTCAGGAGAACAAAAAGCCAATCCTGCAAGTCATCTTTGTGAATGATGATGAAATCAACCAGGGTTTCCAGAAACATGCTGAAGACCTATAAGCAAAACAAGCATCACAAGGAGGAAGGCTGTGCTTCAAATAAAAATTAATCAAAGTGGAAAGTTTTAAAAACCTGGGTTTCAGAATTATTGTTACAGACAGTTTCATGAATGGATGATTTTAGTGACCTCACTGCTTTGAAAATAAAAATCAGACAGACATATATAATGTGCAGTATTAAAATACCACATGAAACAAATGAAGGAAGAGGAACAGAATACACTTACTCTCTGTTGTGAATTCCATAGCAAAGCAGGCCATGCAACAAAACAAACAACTTGTTAGCACACAGTGATCAAACATGATTGTTCAAATGCAGTTTGTCAACATTAAAGATACATTCATTCCAAGTTTACATTTTCTCAATACAAAATACCTTCTCACTAGAGTTATTTAAAACATTATATACCTTGCATCAGATTCAGCTCATGACAAGTTTTTCCCTCACTTCCCCCAGCTTATTCTAATCTCTGAGACTCAGGTCCTATCTGCTGGCCCAAGCAGTGTTTAGTAACAGCAGGGGCGGTGGGTAGAAAAATCCCTGATTTTGCAATAAAGGACTAATGTCTGACTTAAGTTATACTGTAGCAATTTTGTGATTGTAATTTGTATTTCAAAATGATCAGTTTTTGGCAATAATTCTATAAAAGCAGTGAAAAAGAGAGAATCACTGTCATGGAGAACATACTTTGGTTAAACACGTAATAAGCCATCACCTTATTTATACATTGGAAATATTTGCAAGCAGATAACTGTATCTATGCCTTTCCTACAAGGGACTGAATTTTTGAGAGTCAAAAGGTTAACACCTTACGGGTAGGAACTGTCACACCACATGTGACCTGTTGGCCAGCTGGTCCAGACTACAATTACTTGAGGAGTTGACAGCCAGAAGGCATTCAGTTGCTTGGGAAGCACAAGGTAACCAGCTCCTAGCATCAGCAGACAGGCTGGCATCCATACTTTCACAGTAAAACAGATTTGAGGTTTATAAATGCCAGCTTTCCCCAGCAGATGGCAGGGGTAGAAATACAAAACATTCACCTCTGAAGAACATACAAATGTAGATACATGGTAATTCAAGAGAATGACACAGTCTTTGTGATCTTACCTTGCTGTGAGGGTCAGCAAACATGCGAGTAAATATTTCACACAGCCTTTTTAATTCCACTCGGCTAGAATGCATAATAAAAAACAATATTAATGCTACATCTCCTGTTGACAAAAACAAAACAAAACTAAAACAGTGCCACCTGAAAGAGATCAGCTTTCTTTTAAACATTCTTAAGTCACACGTCTGAAAACTCCTACATATCTCTAGGCAAAGCCTTGAGCGGCATTCCAGTTCACGGTGCCAAAGCTCTTAATTTCCAGTACATTGAAAGACACAAGTTCTAGCTTTGCTTTAAAGTGTCAAAGAGTGTAAAAGTTTTGTTTGTTTATCATGCTAATGAAAACAGAGCGATTAACACTTCCTGCATACTATGGATGCAATTAGATATTTTTCCACAATTACTATGAAACCAGAGCAACTACTAAAATGCCTATCAATTGCTAGGGCAACAGCCATTTAGATCACGATTACAGGTACCCCCTTTTCCATAAAGATGTAAATTCTACATTGCAGTCATATATACAGCCAGAATTTGCCAGTAGTCTATAACTGCTTTATGCTAGCTTGCAAAGATATGTGAGATTTTTTTTCAATAGATCTGTTTAAAACAGTACAAAGACAACAGTCTGCCTATGAGTTGGATATAGAGAAAAAAGTACTTGTAACGATGCCAAAGAAAGCTGGCAGCTTCATTCAGGATGAGACTGCAATGTCTCAAAACATTGTCTTGACTTAATGCAGATTGTTGTTTTCTGAATAATGCTCTATTTGTTACTCTAATTAAATTTATTTGTGTGCAAGGGTTATGTGGAAACCGCACAGTAGCCAATCTGTTTTTCCAGAACCTTGCTGTGCCAAGGTGACAGTGCAAGAAACAAACTGACAAGCAGTGGAAGGCCATTTCCTTATCAGATTTGTTGGTCCCGTGTCATTCAGACAGCCTTACTGGGGAGCCCAGCCACATGAAGTTGTAGGAAACAATGAGGAATATTAAGTTCCGTATGACTTTGCATGCACATCTTTCTGGACATGTAATTCACCACTAATGTAAGATTAGACGTCTTTCTATTCAGAATACTAAAGAAAACGTATTAACATTATTGCTTTATATTAAACTTGTTATGCCTGAACAGAAGATACCAGATTTCACTAGAAGACAGGCTTTCCTCTTATACTAATGGCTTTATGTTTTTCATGATACTGTGAGAGCAGGATGAAGAAAACTGATCACTAGTACTGGCACCAGAACATCCCTGAACTAAGGTGTGAGCAGACCAAAAGCAAGCTGAAAAGAAATATAATCTAAAGAACTAAAACCAGTGTCAATTGAAAAAAAAAAATACAACCTCTGCAAGGGTGTATTTTCTGGGTAAGGTTTATAAACTATTCAGAACCAGAGCCAAGGAAACTTGCTAGCTCAAGAGACTACTGACATCAGTAATGTTCATATATTGCAACCAGAAGGAATGAAAACAGCAGCACCTCTACTAAAAGTTACTATGGGGGCAAATAGTCTGTCACCCCAATCTTCTCAGCACTTCCTGACTTAAAACATTCACCCACAGCGTTCCAAGCTATGATGATAATCCTTGCACACCTGTGGGAAAATCAAGATCTCACCCCAACTTTTCATACAAGTATGTTAGGTGTCAGAGTTTTCTCAGAAAATGTGCTAAAATAGAGAAAGAAAAAATGGCATCATTCACATGGGAAGAATCTTTTAAAATACTTGTAAATGGACTACATAAAAAGCCACTGCTGACCTAGGGACTCCACCATACTAAAAACCTGTGGCACTTCCCACCTCAGGATTGCAACGTATCATGTGAAGTGCTGAGTATTTTTATGATGGCAGGAGGATGACCTTCGCAGGCTAGCCGTCAGTACATATTTATCCAGACTGTTAATGAGGACTGACAAACACTTTCAGTCAGTATAAAGACCTTTTAAAAGCAAAACAGCTACACAAATACAAGCAGGTAGGAACTAAACCTATACAACAACTGACTTATATATCTAGCCGTAATTCAACTTCATAATATTCATAACATGAAAATAAAAATGTCATGGCTATTAGTAAATGCTACCTTCAAAGGAGTCAGAAGGAACAACTTATTTCCAAATACATCACCATAAACCAATAATAAAAAGCCTGCGGCACAGGAGTCAGTAAATGTGATCTACTCTATAGTTAATGTGACACGTGGCCATGTGAAGCCTCCCCATGACTGTTGTGTAATTCTAAGATCTGGTTTTATGTGTGACATGTCAAGGGTGTTGGAAGAGTTTATTTGGCTTTCAACAAAGGGAAAACATCTCTCTCCTAGCACACAATCTCAGAGTTGGCACATCTACTTCATTGCCTTACTAAACTTCCCTCTATCCTACAAATTACACCATTTATAGGACACTCAGGCTTTTGATATTTTTGAAGACTTACAAATAATTATACTTGATGCGCTAGAAAGAGTCATGAGTAATTATGCCTAACACAGCCTTCACTACGAGTCAAAGTATACCCAACACAGGGCACATCATTTGATCTCATCTTTTTGAAACACACACACCCTGAGTTTTTATAGTAAACGCAGTCAGTATTTGCTTCTAAGATGCAGAGAAAAAAAAGTACTGAAGGTTCAAATAGACTAATGTGAAAATGGTACCACCCATGGAATGCATTTTCATTACCATCACTGTGGGAAATCTCACTGTGCTGCAACAAGATGGTATGCTTGAGTACTATCTATGTTATTACTAAAAATTTCACACAAACAATAGCGATGACAGCAGAATCTCTTCTGAAAGTAATTAAGTCCCACATTGTGGAGACAAAGCTTCCACAGCTGTGAAAAGTACTATCTGTGTACGTGAGGGAAGTACATATTACTGACTTCTGACAAGAGCCGTCGCCCATGCACGACTAACACTACAGAGCTATGAGGGTCACCTCAGTGTCCGCTGGCTTTTCAGTAAGTTCTGGAGACCTATGAGGCCCTCCTTCCTTTCAGACCAGTTGGAGCTGGCACAGTGGTTCAGGACCTCAGCCACATCTTCGGTCTGCCGCAGATAGTGAGGAATGCCTCCATTCCTGGAACCATAGGAGCGCTCTGAGCAAGCGCTTGATGCATCACTGTTAGCGTCATCGTCGGAGTACATCCCATAGGGTTCATATCTTCTTCTCACTGGCTTTTTCTGGGAAAGGGGAAACTGAGACTGAATAAATTATATACAGTGACATCACTTCTAAAAGAAAAATGTTCTACCTATAATCATTAATCAAGGAAGATTAATGCTACTGTTACAGTGACATGTTTTTAAAAGACATCACTAAGCACTGCCTGCTTGTCTCTCTCAGCAGAGAAAGACAGATCTCATTGATTTCAATGAGCATGAGTGGCCAAGGAGAGCAGGACCTGCTTTTCCCAGCATGAAAGCTCAATACTTATGCCCAGTGGAATTAGCTATATTAGCTGTAACAATGAAATCGTAAGTTTTATTGTAAATAATAGTCAGTTCCATTGTTACATGTTCTGTGATGAAATAGCCTCTATTTCAAGAAAAAACAAAGATAAGGAAGAAAGAACTGTAGGAATCTGTGCTGGCACGTACAGACATTTCTATATTGATGATGGAGTAACTCTAGAAATGCACTGGGATACAGAACAGTGTTACTTTTAGCTGATTTTTTTTACATTTATTTATTTAGAGAGGTTCCTAAAGGTGATGAGTAATCAAATCCCACTAATTTCCACAGCATGGGATAAGTGGAGCACATCCTTGACAACCACAGTCCTTACAAAAAGGATATTTCAATAATTTTGATAGCTCTACAAATTGTGTACTACAAAATAAACTTTTAAATGAACTTTAACAGAACAAAATAAGACAATGTCAGAAAAGATTGCCTAAATTCTTAAATAAATGCCTAAATATTTGATACAGAATTCCTTCCAGAGTCCACTCCTGCAGTTCTCAGACTTGTGAAGCCAATAGAGATTTTCTTTGAAGTGAAGAAATTAACTCAAGTGCGGTATTATGGGTGTTAGCAATAGGGTAGGGAAAGTTGAAAGTAGAAATAAAAAGTTAAGAAAGCACTAGTACCTTGCTCCTGGAGTCTCCTAACAGCTGTAGAGGCAGGAAAATATTGAAGGGTGGGAAAAAGCATAGAGAATTATGTCAGAAGCTTATGTGGGGTTTTTGTTTTTGCAACACAAATGTATAGCAAATGCATCTTAGCAAATTAAAAAAACACAACAGTTTATGCAAAGCAAAAGTGGGTATAATAATACCTGGCTTTATTTCCTATCAGCTGAAGTTGTATATCTTACACTTTCTATTACAGATCTTGGAAGTGAAATCATCTGTTATGCTTTTGATGACATCTACGAATGCAGCGCCTCTGCCTGCATCTCAGAAATGCTGTTTCTGGAAGATACCAGTTTTGGGTAGTGATTTTTCTCCACACATTCCCAGTAGCTTTTGATTTCTCAAGTCTTAAAGAGATTCTGATGTCAGGAAACCACTATCTACAGTACAACACATTTAATCCAACTTCACTTAACCAGGTTTTCTTTCAACACGTAGTTCTTATGCTGATTTTTTTCTTTTTTTTTTTTTGAAGCTTAACTTCTTTAAAAGACAAGCTGGCGCCCATGACTTCAAGGCCTTCACACCAAAGATTCCATCACCCTTTGAGCTTTCCTGACAGATCCAAGCACTGATTCAAAGTATAGACTGTGTTCTTAGGCCAAGTTCAGCTCTCAGACAGAAGCAGTGGATCCAATGAGAATTATATGCATAGAGCAAAGGTTACAGAATGACCCACTGAGTTTTGTTTAAACTTGGCTAGAGCCATCTCTATAGCAGCTTTTTTTTTTTTTTTTTTTTTTAAATTCTTACTACAGGAAAAAGAACACTTGTTTGAGAACAAGGTTGCTGTGTACAAGCTGGCATCACACTAATCTTTCAAAATGAGCCCAAACAGAGTTTGTAAATTGCTTGTCAAGAGGAAGCAACTAAAAAAAAAAAAAAAGAACAGAGGAGGTGAGAAAGAAGGGACAACAAGATCACATTACATCCATTAAAGTCATACGAATTCAGATTGATCATCTTACACATATCAAGGTAGCTAAAATGCTTTCCACTTAGACTCACAGACTTCCCTTTTAAATGTTTAACTCTTTAAATAAGATTTTAATATTCCAGCATAAAGTTACTTAGTTTAAAACAGTGAAATACTTAGAAGTGAACTTAGAAGTCCAAGCTGAAGTCACACCAAGAAATCTTAAGTGATCAACAGTGAACTGGAACACCACTGCTACCCTCTCCACCTCCGTCAAGTAACCAAGCGTTCACTGCTCACATTCAGGGATACAGCATGATTCATTTACAAAGGCAAACTATCACCTATAACTATGCTGTGAACTACTATGGTGGCAAATTTGAGGAGCCGGGAGCAAAAACTGCCTCATGATCTGCTGAATTTAGTAATGAAAATGCCCACTAAATACAACAGCTCCATTATATACTGTCCTAACTCAGTATGATTCAAAAGAAATTATTTATTCAAAAACAAAACAAAACATTTTTCTAGTACTCTGATAATACTCTAGAAATGGAGGTGAGGTAAGCTACATGATGATTGCAAAAAGAATGATGTTAGCCAATATTAGAGAAAGTAAACTAGGAAAAATGGAAAAAAAAAAAAACCAAACCTTTCACAAACTCTGGGGACATTATTTGTTCTCCAAGACAAATAAACAGATATCTGCTTCAGATATATCAGGAAATCCTCATCTCAGCTTATGTCTAGAGATGAGGAAGACCTAAGGTTCACCCAAATAATACTTCAGAGTAAATGCTCCTGCCTCTTAAACACCCTCTGTCTCCTCAAGCCCCAAAGTAAATCCAAAAGTTTATGACAGCACTCAGCTTCTGAAGAGCAAAAAACATCTTGTGTATTCTACCCAAGAGATTTTATATTGCTGTAACATTATATAGGACAATACATTTTTAATAATGACAAATTTACTCAGAAATGCACTTAATATTTAGAAAATAATGGCCGTATGTTACACAAACACTTCAGTTTAACTGCATGAAATGATATCAATTACAGAAAAGCCAAGCTTTGAGCTGATCTAAATACCTAGCTAGGTGTAAACAACAGAGCAGGACATGACAGAGTTCTCAGTTCTTTCCCAGACAAATGGAATCCCATCTTTCCCAGACAGTTAATGGACTCAATGGAATTCCCTCACACCACAGGTGGTGAGCACCCATACAGTGCAGCAGACAGCTTCCAACAGCAAATCATAAGACAAACAGCTCATTCAGCTTCTCCTGCGGCTCCAGTATCAAGCCTCATCAGTTTAACTGTGGAGAACTAACATGGAATGAGGAAAAAACGTTGCTGCTCGTATACTCATGCACAGCACAACACAAGGTAACCAACTCTACAGCATCAGACACTCAGCACAATCAGAACAAAGCTACTTAGAAAGAGGAGAACGTACGTACAGGTAACTTTAAGCCACTTTCCGGTGTCGGAAGCATTTTGTATTTTTCCCCTTACCAGTGCATCAGCCACAGCGGCCTCCAGGTCTGTGCTTGTGCTTAGGACTCGCATGGCATTCACAGAAGCAGGCATCCTGCCTGACTGTCCGAGTCCAAACCGGTCTGCACAAAAGACAACATTGAAAGGGATTGTTAAGTAAATTCACATTCACTTGGAATCCTAATCAGGTGTCTGAACAGTCCTCCCCAAAGGATCTGGGAACTCTCAGTGCTTTTTCAAAGACTCTTTTATCCACAACTCTACAAGAGTTTGTCATGACACTAAGAAATAAACTATTGTTTGTTGGGTCCCCAAGACGATTTCAGATCCTCGGGGCATGTCTTTTTTGTTTTTGCTGGGTTTTGGTTTTGTTTTTAAGATGGGAAGAAGGGTATCTAATTTGTGTTTATTTTTAATAGAAATTATTTGGGGTTTTATTTTAATGTCAGAGGCAGACATGCAGGTCCCAGTCTGGCTCTCTCAGGAATCAACTGAAGACTTCTCATTAACTTCTGAGAAACAGAGCTGTGCCCAGTGTCAGAGTTGCATGCTAATAGCAGAGCACTCATCTTGTAGCTTGTTCTCAGGCAAGTACGTGAGATCATCAGCAGCAGTACATTAGCTCTCTTATGTTGCAAGGCTTGATTAACCAGAACATCTCCCTACGCCTCAAAGAACAAAAATAAGGTTTATTATTTGTTTGTGAAGTTACTCCAGCTCTGTTTTATTGTTGCTCTTGAGAAGCAGCTTAAAAGTTCATTGAACTGAAATGCAATTCAAAAGTTTTATGATAAAACAAATCTTTCTTGGGGGCGGGATCATACAATATCATGTCTCCCTATGACTTGATGGCAAAGCTCTCAACACATCCAAAATAACAGGATTGAGTCCCAAAAGCCACTTACATCCACAATAATCACTAGCTTACTTCATCATTTGCCCAGACTGTGATAAAAACATTGCAGAATGAATTTCTCTGAGCAAAAGTCGTATTTGGAAAGCTATCACTAGCAGTGATACAGCAGAATCAGCAACCGGAGCCACAGGCCAGGCTCCAGCAGCGCAGCCCCTCCAGATCAGAGATCTATTTCTGCAATCCTGGCTCCAGTCAATAACCAGAAAGAGCCTGGTTTCAACATTTCAAGTTTTTGTTTCCACCTGGGGCTGTCTTTGCTCCAGAATGGCTGGGAAAGATCCCTCTGGGACATATCTTACACCATATGTGCCAATAAGAGCTCTGCCAGCGTTTCAGAGGTGCACAAATCAAGTTGCACAAACAGATCATCAGCTGATCCACATCTTTCAGCAGTTCATCTATATTTAATTTAATGAAGGAAAAAGACTGCTTATTGAAATGTGTTTCCGTTGTGGATTTGCACAAATTGAACATTACATTTAGCAGTCTACTGTATTTATTTATTTTTAAAAACTCTGCTTTACTGTATTTATTTATTTTTAAAAACTCTGCTTATCACAAAGTTTTGTTGCTTTTCTCTTTAGAAGCCCATTGCACTGAAATCTCTTTTAGGGAATTTGCTCACACTGCCCTGCGTAACTGAAATCAGGGTCTGAAGCCTGCCCGTCTGTCATCCTAATTTTAAAGCTTTACCTGAGCACTTCAGAGCAAGGATTAAGATACAGAGAGGAGAATAAAGACAACTTTTTAAAACCTAAAATATTTTTGAGAAAAAAAGATGAAGATTAGCATTTATTTCAGAAGTGTTACCACAACTTGCTCTTTCTCAGTTACGCAACCAGACGAGACATTTCTGATTTACAACAAAAGCACAATTTCTACAAAACACATTACAAGAGGAAAAAAACAAAAACAAACATCTTAGAACTACTGCCAAAAAGTAATCAAATGATATTTCACAAAGAAATAAAAGTTGTATGAGTTATTACTATCCCCTTTTTTAATGCACTCGGGTTGAAGAATCATTTCAAACACGTAGCTGAAACCACACTTGATCCCTAAAATGGAAAGATCTGTTTACTCTCAGTGGAAGCACAGAAGATGATAAACCATTGAGTCAGACTGAATTTGAAGTCACTGTTACAGAGATACATACTAGAAGATGTACAAAAGATGAATATTTTTCTAAGTGGAAATGAGACCTGGTACAACACAAGGGCTGTAAATGTTGAGACAAGTTCTGGACTCAGTTGTATTTAAATCTATTAATTTGACACTGTTACTCAAGTCTTACTGAGATCAGAATTTGGCTTTATAGCTTTCAAATGGCACAATATCATATAATACCACTGTTACACATTTTCATGTTAATTTAGTATTACATTAGAAAAGGGAAGATAGCTTTGTTTTTATTTAAAAAAAAAAATGAAGAACAAAATGACAAAGTAATTCAACTGTAGGTCAGTTTAAATACCCAGCATAAAAAGGAAAAACAACAAAACAAAACAGGGCTTTTTAATCAAATTGAGTAAGCACAAGGTGGCATGCTGTCTTTTATCCATCCCAACAGCTGTCAGGAAATCTTTAAAACGCTTCTCGCAGTCACTATTAAACCCATAACATCCATATCAGTGTGGGCTTTTCCCACACTGCTGCCACACCTCAATGCACACATTTGATCTTAGAAGGAAGCTCGACATCTCTGCCATAGGGCTGGGAATGTGCTTGGCTCCAAGAATAACCCTTAGAGACAAGCCCAATGTTACTGTCAATAAATAAGCTGAACAGTAGGTGCTCTCTCTGGTCAAACTCACTTTTCCTTCTGGCTATTTTAATTACAGTTGTTGCTTGGTGAAAAATTCCTTGATTTTGCTACTTCTTTGGCTTTCTTTAGAATCAAGATAAGCATATATAGTCTCATTATGCTTTGTACCAAACCACTGGAGCAAAGCATGAATTGACTATCACGCAAAGTTGAAGGAAAAAAGCTTAAGCTTAGATCTCAATTAGATTTGAGGGCCCTTTTTGTTCTTGACAATTTTTTTCAATACAAATTCAAACTGCTGCTTTGAAACATGCCAGAATCAAACCTGCTTGCACCATTTCTGCAGTAGCTCGATAGGGGAAATGTTTTGAGTTTAATTTAAGTGACAGCAATTTAACTGCACTTAAGAGGAACAGAACATTTTTCACTGCCTATCTGAAGAAACTTCGTTAACTAACTTTTAGTGTCACTAATTCCTTATGCAGTTTTAGCCTCCAATCAAACACTGAAGCTCTAAGTCATCTTCTACATCATCTTCGTACCCACATTTGAGTTTCTGCTGACCTAACACTAGCAGCACTCATTCGTTTTTGCTTAAGACTCCTAGTGAAATATCCTGTTCTCAAAGGGAGTTGCAGGAATTCCACAACTGCAAATCCAGCATAGGAGAGGAGAAGGCAACTGGAATCTGAAGGTTTTCCTCACTATTTTCTACTATGCAAAACCCACTGAAATTAAAGGAATTATTTTTCCAACAACTTCCATGTGCTTTGCATAAGGTCTTCAGTAGAATACGAAGGATGAATTAGCACGTGTTATGCTCCAAGGTTCATTCTGAAAACTCATTAGATGCTTAATTCTTGCTGCTTTTGTGAATATCAGACAGGATTCCACAGCGCACATTCATTAACAGACAGGAGTCTGAAAAACTTAGTAATAAATGGAATGAGACCCACTGGGATCCTGTCCTAGACACTGGAAACTGCTACAGTGCTGAAGAGGAAACAGGCATGAATTGCAAGGACTCTGCATTGTTCAGGATCTAGCTGATCCAACTGATCCAATTTACAAGAGAACTGAGAAAGCCCTGGATCACCCTTTGTTCAAACACTGCTCACAACGTTCCTGTAGTACATAAAATAAAAACATTCAATAAATGAAATTTTCAAAAAGAAAAAGCCATGTTGAACAAAACAGAACAAAAAGCCTCGCAGCGGTGAGAAGCACATGCCAAGTGCTGGCTGATGCACGTGACAGCAAATGTTAAAATGGTGTAAAACAAGACTACATATAAGAAGCAGATTCATGCAGTTAGCGCTTGTTCACCTGACTGCCCAACAGAATCAGCAGTGGAGAGAGCACTAGTGGACCTGGAATGACGTCGAGAAGCTGCAAGTAGAAGGAATGGCAAACACCCACAGGATTAACACACATTTAACCCAAGACAGAAAATGCCACAATCCGAAGGGGATGCACGTGAACATTACCAGTAAACGTGTTTCATAGTGACAGGGAAATGACGTTGTATATGAATGCACAACAGATACAGTGCAAGCCCCACAGAGTCATCTCCATCTGTAGCTTCTCCTCCCCTTCCCTCATGACCATAAACACCATGCATGACAAAACTCATTTGTAACAGTTGCAAACCCAGTGCAGTTTCAGCAAAGAAAACCAGTGTGCGTCAGTTCCATTCCAGAACCACAGATCTGGAAGATGGCCATCATGACAACATGGAGCACATAACCATAGAGCAGGATTTAGATGTGTCTGATCTAAACCCCAATGGGAAGCCATGATAAATGGTTACAAACTGTGCTTGCAGGTCTTTTTCCAAAACATTCTAGCCTATGCGAAAAAAAAAAAACCAAAAAACAATGCTCACAAAAAGAACGAATAACCACAAGTTGAAAGAGTACAAGGAGTCACACAGGGAGGTCAGCCAACAACTGCTTATAGCTCTTCTGGTTTTGACGTAATTTTCTTTCATCAAATAAACACACATACTGGAGCTGTTGCTACTACCAAAAGTCTTCTGCTCAAACAAATTTTGTATACATGCTTTTTAATCTAATTCACGTGTAATGTGAATATGCACATACATTTATCTAGGACTGTACCATATGTATACAAACAAATTGTTAATAGCAACAGAACAGACAGTAGCAGAAGAGCTGATGCCAAATATAGCTCCTATTTCAATGCTCAGCTGTCAGCAGCACATGAATCACAAAATGCCTTTGGACAGATTTTCAGTTATCGGGTTTAGCATAAAGGTGAGTTAGTTCTTCATGAAGGCAAATGGGAAGCCAGCCCAGACATTTCTGAATTACAGAAATTTAACTTTTCTGAAGAGAATTTTCCTGTGTGCAGCAATGATACTTTCACCTAACCTAAAAAGCAAACACTGATCGTCTGTGTGAGCAATTTGTCACCAGACTCACCAAAGGCCTTGTTGATGCAACATCATAACTAATACTGTCAAATTGAAAAAAAAAAAATCACTATCCAATAGCTTTGTCAGTTGTGTGTTTGTGTGAGCAATAGAAAAATTGTCTCCGCTTAAGCATTAATAAACAAATGCTAGTAATATAAAAAAGTGTGCAAAATGAGAAAAAGTTCAAATTTCCTCCCAGTTGTGACAAGTTGGCCGAAGCTCCACACAATATGCAATGTGGTCTTTAAATACGTAGGACACATGCATTTATTCAGGAGAATAATCCCGCTGACGCCATAAGCAAGCCATGACAGATTTGCAGGATCAATACAGGACCATGGTCTGAACCCTCAACTAAAATTCTGAGCTTGCAAATGTTTTCTTCTGAGCCATCCATAGATGTCTCATAGGTGTCTCTATAGATTTCATTGCCAGATCAAGGCCCAAGACAAAACAGCAATAGAAATAATAAAAATCACTTATCTTCAATAATGTTTTTAAATAAATCATATCATCGACGCTTCCAGGGAGGGGGCATTCACAACCTCGCTGGGCAGCCTGTTCCGGTGTCTCACCACTCTCACAGTGAAGAATTTCTTTCTAATACCTACTCTAAGTCTACCCTCTTCCAGTTTAAAATCATTTCCCTTCAGCTCACTCAAGCCTCCTAACTTGGAAAGAAAGACAACACACAGATCTGTATGGAAGCTTTGAAAATAAGCAACTTGCAAGGCCAGGATGCCAGTGCTGACACTGATCATTAATACTGCTAAATGCAGGAATCCTGCCGTTTACATATAGCTAGCTTAAGTAAAATTCACTAATACAAAGTTAATCTTCATGAGCAAAAATGGACTACGCTATTTAGGGATTAATGTAAGATTAACTGGATTCTAAAAATACAGTAATGGAACCATCTTGGCTTAAATTGCTATATATACACACACACAGAGCTTACTTTCAAATGAGTTACAAGCTACAGAATGAAGTTTGCGAACTTAAGCTGTGTTCCAGCTTACAGCATTCAATGAAAATACAAGAAAAGGGATAACAGAATAGCAACTATATTAGGTTACCATTACACTTCCATTACACACTACCACTACCATTTCCCCCCATCTTCCATTTTCCCTTTCCTGACTGTATAACAACTGCATCCCTAGAAATGAATTAAGCTTCATTAAAATGAAACACTCCTCCTCCCCACTATGAGATTTGTTGAAACCACCGTAATACATATATGTAATTGAAATTTCATATTCAGTGTACAAGTCAGACTTGGTGGTGGTGCACAGAATTCACACCAACTGTGGTACTGGAATGCTGCATTTAATTTTTTAGATCAAAGGCTCAAGATGGTATCTCAATGTAATAATAGAAGAAACAGCAAAAAAACAGAATACAAACAAGTTAGCCTTGACATGCAGCATGCTCAAAACATTTTGGCTGGAGAAAACAGCCTCATACAAAACTGAAGCTACACAGTTAACTATAAAAACAAGCTACAGTTGGATATTTACCATTCCTTTATGGCTCTGATATCAAATCAGCTTCATTTAACCCATAAAAAGCCTCTTTGAATTATCTAAAATATCTGAATGTTAAATTGAACTCCAGCCATTTCTCAGTAAATTTGAGATATTACAGATAGATTATATTTCATAAATGAATTAAATAATGAATTTCTGAACCCAAAACCTTGTTGAAGATTCTACTCTACATCACCAAAATCAATAGAAATTTTGGCAATGATACGAAGACAACTGCACTCTCTCCTCTGACAGCATTGGAAGTCAGCATGAGTAAATGAATCAATATTGACAACAGCTATGTAGGGTTAACAGTTTATGCAAAGTACAATGTATTAACTAGGAGAACCAAACAGGAAGATTTTGCCCATTTATCCTTTCTTTTTTAAATAACCTTTTCTTACCAATTGATTTGATGCAGAATTAGGTCCAAAATATTACATTCTACTTACATAGTATTTCTTAAAGATATATTTTGTCACTTACGCGCAAAACACATCTTGAAATAAAATTATTCAGCCCTAAGTATATAAGATCTTCCTTCTCACTTCTACTATTCATGCACAACTGTTAAATTACTGTTATATATGTAAATGTATATGTATTTTATATATATAAAATACTGTTATATATAAAAACTGTTATATACGGGAAAGGGGGCTGGAGATAAACTATGCTTAATTATGTCTGAGATGACAAATTTTTCGTACAACAAACAATGTAGTTGGTTGAATACATATGACATGATATTTGATCAGAAACATTAACTATCCTGTTTTTAGCCTCGTGCAGAAGAACATCCTGCATGTGGTAAGTGTAATGAGATTTCCTATTCACACCATGCACCCAAGCTGTATGATAGTGATGCTCCTTTAAAACTTTAGTCTTTTTATTTCTGTCTGCTTGAAAGTCTTCTATGAAATTGCACATGCTACTTATGATTAAGAGTGTTGAATAAAACCAGTACAAAAAGAACACTCTCTTCGTTGCAGGATTTATAATAGAAATGACATTGTACCTACTTGCAAGAAAATCAGATCATGGATAGATTTAATCAACAACAGACTACAGTGGTACTGACTACTTCACTGTGACCTAGAAAACGCAAGCTTACTCTCCCCCAAATTTGCATCAGTGCTGTAAAGCACGGCAGCCCCACACAAGCTGATTTAATGAAACTGAAAAATAACAAAATTCGGGGCTACACTATTTTCATACTAATAGTGAAATGCTGAGAACCAGAATTGAAGCATGCAAAAGAAAACAGAAGGGAAACAGGGTTGGAAATAGGGAGCGTGTCAGGAATCTAACAGAAGATAGGAAACAAGCTCATTTCACCTGGCAGTGTCTTGATCTTGAAGGGGCAATCAGAACAAGGAAAAAAGGGGAAAAAATTGATCCTTAAAACTCCAATGCCTACTACAAAGTACTCACCAAGTGGAGGAAAGCCCCGAGCAGGGCTTGTATCTCGACTGCTCTCACGGCTGGTATCACGGCTGCACCCCTGACTCATGCTGGGTCGGGGGATACGACTGCTCCGTGCTAGCATGCAGCATGGAGAGTTTCAGAGAAGGTGAACAAGTTTAATGAGGACAGAAAAGCTCAAAGTCAAGTCACATTTCTGTTAGTTAAGGTAATTATTACATTAGTAATCATCAGTTTCAGCAGCCAGCTCAGGCTCTTACAAACCAACTATGCTACGTGCTGAGCTGCGTTTGTGAAGTGAAATTTCATCAGTATTAAATGTCTGGCTGATAGTATCCTCGTTTCTTAAGCAATCCAAGTTGTGTCATTCAAGTGGAGTAGGACATCTTCAATCATTTAGGGAAGCTCTACAATTACAAAGCATGCAAAACAGATGAAGCTACAAAAAACTCTCATGAAAGATTTTTTCCTTAATTAAAAGATAAACATCCTTCTGGAACAAAGAAGCAGCATTTTTAATCAGATTGAAGTGTTTTAAAAGTCTGTCTCAATACCAGCATAGTAACTTTGAATAGATTTCGTTTTTACAAGAATAACTTTGTCCTGAACAAATAACCTAAGAAAAAAAAACGGTACATACTGAAGGAATTTTCTCTAACAAATGATACTGGGCAAAATCATTCAGACCTAAATACCTGAAAGACAGCTTTGAAAGTGGTTTGAATTTCAAGATAGCAACAGTTTCATTTTTATTTTTATTTTTCAAAACAACAGCTGTCTAACTTCTGATCCTCAACATTTCCAAGCCTTACACTTATGGATGAGACATATGCACACATAAGGAGAGTCTTTAACTACAATCTTTACTTTGACAAAGCCTTGCATCAAGGAGACTTATCTGTGGTCTGGCAGCTATAAAGCGTTCCGTTTCCCCTAACAGATTTCCATCTATCAGCCATGTCAAAGCAATTCATCATATGCAGCCTTCATTGGGCCAAATGCACAACAGAAGACAGAAGATGCAGTGGCTTTCTTTGTAACAAGCAATCCCACTTCATTGGAAATTTTGTCCATGGAGGAGAAACAGAACTATAGTGCTTTCTGAAAAGTTACTTAATATTATGGATTTGAATTTTAGTTTTTTAAGGAGAACAATTAACTCCTGTGCAAATTCTTTGCCATTGATATGAAAGATGATAGCAACATGTTATTAAAAAAAAAAAGCTCTATGCCAAGTAGAGAATAAAACATTTTTGGATGCAAAAAAAATGGCAACTAATTGTCATAAATTCGTTTTGAAGAACTTAAGAGCTTCCGTGAGCTCACCAAGAAAGCAGATCACACATTTATGCAGCTCCTCTTTTTGATGAGGAGATTTAGATATACGAGAAAAACCTTGCCAGAAAATAATGTCTGATTCTGAATGGTCATTCATGCCTTGGGTGTGTTAGTATCCTTTCAAGCAAAACAGTACAGTATACAACAGAAAATTTCATATCTAAGCTTTAAAATTTAAAATATAAGCTTTAAAATACTGCCACATTCTTGGTTTGTCATATCCCTTCCAAATTTGTTAACCCCAACTAAAATCTTTTAGATGAATTAATGGTTCTGATGCTTGAACTTTGATGTCAGACAATACAAGATGAGATAGTGACCAAGCTGATTTGATCAGTGCATGTCTAAAAAGCCTATGTGAATTAGATGGTCTTGTAATAAATAAGGCAGAACAATAAAGAGGTTGAAATTAGGGTCCACAAGTACAGTGATCCCATGTCAGGCTTACAGGAATAAAGCTGTAAGGTGAACTACAGACAGAGGTAACACTCTGAAGTCTCCTGCACAAATACTTGCTTCAAACTGCAGGCTCTCTAGAAGCTAGTTCCTCATTCTTGGGTCTCATGCTTCTATGTAGATAATGGTAGCCTTCACATCATGTTTGCACAAGCAGTCATTTCTCTCAAAAGAGATTTATCAGACTTTTGTATAATGCAACCCTAAGTCCACCAAAGGCTCTTCAGAGAGAGGGAGTTGTGAATGATTAAAAAAATTAATTGATGTTCATAGTACATACTCCTTCCATTACTGACAATCACAGCAGCATGAAGTATGAAGACAAAGCACTTTAAACTGCATTAAAGCAGTCTAACAAGACAAAGCCAAAGATAAACCACAATATTGACCACACAGAGAAAGCCCAAAAGCAAACAGTGTATTTCATGAGCAATGGTCCAAAGATTTACACGTTACTAAATAGAGAAATACAACAACAACAAAAAAAGAATGGATTGAATAGAATAAAATGAGTCTGTTATGGACTCCCAGGCATCTGCCCCACCATTTGTTGTTTTTTTTTCCTTTCTGTTTTGTGCAGAGAAGATTGAATATCAGTTATTCAGGAGTATTTTCTTCAGGTACTACCAAAATCAAGGGCCAGCAGCGCTGTCATTTAGACAAACTTTTCATATACCCAAAGCCTGACTGTCTTTTCAGAAGACAGACGAGAACTTCAGAATTCCCAAACTCCACCAGCAGAACTCAATCATTCCCCTTTTTATCAATTTACCACTTGAAAGCCTACATTTCATTAAGGTGTGGTTTTTAATGATTTCTAAGTCTGTAAAGTCTGTAAATGCCGCAAAAGCAGCCCATACCAAGCACAGCAGTAGGATATACCCAGCAGAGGCAAGCAAAGAGCTGCCTTTGACTTTCCAATAGATACACACAGCATAACTACTGATGAAAAACTGCATGCTATATGTTAACCAACTGCACCTGCACCACTTTCTGAAGAACATTATCTCACATCTCTTGCTTCTTTCAAATCCAACTTGCAATCAAAGATCTGACTCCTCACCTAAGCTCAGAATATGGGAGGTGCCATGGAAGCTACATCCCCACTCTGATGATGGGCTTGAGGGGAGGAGCAGGTAGCTGGCCTTCGGCACACACCCACACTGCAGCACCTGTCAGGATACACAGCCTACTGAGCATCCAACAGCATCCATTTCCAAGGCTTCCAGCAAACAAGAAAAATACAAGAGTATGCATGGACACCTGTGATCAGCAATGAAATTAATGTGGCAACAAGCTACTGATGCTTACAGGCATCCACATGCAAGGCTCTATTAGCTTACACTGTCTTTGCTTTCCAAAAGGCCTGATGAACTCCAGTGGGTGGCTGTTCTGTAAAGCCCCACCCCATACACACACTTGCATTGTATGCTTACTCTTGCACACAACTGCAACTTCTAGTTGCCCTTGCAAAATACTACGTATCAACTCAATGGATGAGTTATGAACAGGACCCAGAAATCACCTATTTCTAACAGCTTGATCTGCAAGATTATTCAACACCCTCTGCACTGCAACATGACTATGTAAGTTAAGAGCGATTTTGGTCCATGGGTTAAGAACATAATCCCACAGAGCTTAAACGATTGCACGCACATTTGATGCTGTATGTGAGCTCAAGTATTTGAATTAGAGTGTGAAGTTTATTGGCATCCTTAAGATCAAGGTGAATGGGAGTCCATTTAATGAAATGAGTGAGTGAAAAAAAATGTGTCACAGAGAATGAAGCAACAAAAAAACCAAAAACTGTAGCTACTTGTAAGTCATAAATACAATGGGATAATGGTATAAAGATCAAAGTTACCTTCACATCATATTCAAAATTCGATAGAGACCATTTCTGCAACTGAAAGCTAAAGCCAACACAAGTGTTAAACTACTGCTCTCATGAGAGCCTGAAAGAACAGGCTTTGGTCAGTCATCAACTTGGGAATGGGTAGAAAACATACATCTGCTAGATGACAGAGTTCTCTCACTCTCAAACACTGACTGTTCACAGACAGCACATCAGAGCAGTGAGAGACATGTTACATTTCCAAAGGATTTCATGGCTCCCATAATATACCTGAAAGCAGGCAACCCAAGAGTGAGGATTTTACAAAGTTAGTTCAGATGCTAAACACTGTTTCAAATCAGACCACGTAACACGATGATAAACTTAAGCATAATTGATGGTGCTGTCCATCATTCTTCATTTACTTTCAAAATGTATGCTCTTTTGCAGAGTGACAGCACAGTTGTCTCTATTTGGAAAACACCACATTTTGAAAGTAATGAACAGAAGAGCACAAAGCATTCATACTGAAGTCATAAAATAGATCAGACTAAGAATACTACTAAAACTGGAAAAATAATCACAATAACCATGCAGTATTTTTTATGACCCCTAACAGCATGTACACTCACGTGCTTTAAGTGCATTTCATTATATTTGAATAAGACACTTCTCTAGAAATGCTCTAAACAGAAATGCAGCTTACATTTCAAATATAGTTGCTAATGTAATAGTTAAAAATTCAACTGCCAGCACTAAAGTCATTATTTCAATTTAATCTACCAATAAATTTTTTGAAGATACAAAATATAGTAACAGTTCTTTAAAACGACATGAACTTCAAGCTACTGAAAGCATTTCCATTTCAGAAATGAAAACAGTATTTACTTGCTTAGCCCATATCTTTTTTTTTTTTTTTTTTTAATCTCAATTCAGGTACACAAAAATTTCTATACGACGATGCTTACCCACCTGTTCATAAAAAAAATGAGTCTGCTGACAAATTTGAAAACAAATATTATTATGGATTATTTTCACAGCAGTCACTAAGCCAAGAACTTTGGAAGCAGAATATTTAAAGCATAAGTTTAAAATACCATCTAAAAAGTAGCTCCAAGACATTCCAGACAAGAAGCAAACATTTAAGCTGCAAAAATTGTTAAATAATCACAGAAGGTGCTCAGCACCCTTGATTTCAGCTAACTGTAAAATTGCTCAGCTGGTCCTAGGACTAAGCCACTCATGTAAATGAGGTATTTTTGCTTTGAAAGTTATTCGTGGCAACTGTTTTTGCTGCCTGACCTAAAAATATCACTCATGTCATATTTCAAACAGGAGATATAAACATCTTTGGGTATTTTGAAACTATGCCTCAACCTGGAAAATTAGAACTGCTTTCCTACAAGCCATAATAACTAACAGTTCATTTCTGGAAATAAAACATTAACTTGCCAAGTTGAGGAATTCAGAAGAAAGACAACAACCACATACATGTTTCACGTTCAGTAGGAAAGCCCACCCTTTGAGCACACTGGCCAATGTGTCACTGCAGTGACTACTCTTACCTAGTCCTATTCTGTTGGGACTCGTCTCTCGACTGCATCCCTGGCTCCGGGGGATCTTGCTGCGCTTCTCTGAAGATGATGGCACAGGTTGAACTCTGGATGTTCCACTGCTCAAGCCACCATAGGTGCTTCCTAACAGCTTACCCGGAGAACTAGACCGACTACCAGCTGGAAGAGAACCAGAAATGAGGAATACAAGCAGTTAAAAAAATAAAAAAAGCAAAACCAAAAAACCCGATACCTCCAACACCTTAAATACTGATGGCAAAACTGAAACAATCAGCTCTAGCAGTGTGACCCAAAGCACACAGAAAATTAATGGGACAGCTTCCCACAGGCTTTAAGAGGATGACTGAAGAAAGCCCGTGGACAATAAACACTGACATTAGCAATTCTGTACATATGCATGGTGCTACCCAATCAAGATCAAGACCAAAATAGACACCGCAGTGCAGGAATATCCTAAGCTGAATTTCAGTGAGCTTGTGGAGATGCCAGGAGCAGCCTTGCAGCAGCAACATAGGGTCCATAGGCTGCTTTGCCTCAACAAGCAGCAACAAGAATTAGCTCATGTGGAGCGCTGTGCAGCAGATAACCAGCTTTTGGCACAGGTAAGCTGCTGCAAGCCCCATCTTCACATTATGCTACAGTGGTGACATTGTATTCCTACAGTAATTCAGGGAAGAAAAAACATTGCCAACAAAAAAAGAATACTGTCTCAACAGCAGCAAACCAGCATGTTGAAGGGTAAACCAACTAACCCTGTCACAATTGTAGAGATGCCGGTTTACTTGGGTCTGACTATAGCTAAATAGTTATTTTTCAGCTGGAAAAAGAATATTTAGCAAGTTAGATAGTTGGCTGGGTTTATTTTTCATTGTCAGTTTGAATTGTTCATGGTAAGTTTACATTTTTTCTAAGCCATGATGTCTGGTCCGCTGACCAAGATTTAGTTACAACATTTACATTCCAGTTGCAACAGACATTTGTCCAAAATATTCATGCTGTCAAACTCAATAGGTTGAACAATATAATTATTTTTATCCAGGGAGAGAATCTTATTTTTGTAGCATGTTTCTGCGGAAAATCAAGTAATGTTGGCTTTAAGGTAACCAAGGAACTATAAAACTAATGGATTTAAGACCCTTTTGTTTCTTTAGGTATACAAATTACACAATGAACATTTGCCATTGATATTATCATCCCTAACATCCAACATTTTGTTGTTGCTAGAATAGGAAGGAAAATAATAGCTAAAAAAGGTTGCAAAAATATTCTCTGGCAAGTTCATATTTTGTACAAATACTCAAGTTGCCTGCTTTCTAAAAAGTATGTACACATCTCAAACATTTAAGTCCCCAACTCTGTTATGATTAATAAGAGTTAACTAAGAGATAAAGGGCGTTCTTAATTTAGAGAAGGTATGCAGTTTTACTCGTCTGATGGACAAAAACATAAAAGCATGTATTATTTTAACTTGCTTGCTCCCCTCCTTTCTTGGATAAAGCCATTTTGAATCAAATTACGTATTCTAATATCCCCCCCAGAAGTGAGAGCAGTTGTGAAAGGTGCCAGTTTCTCTCACAACATCCACACCCTGAAAGCCAATGCTCCTACCAGTTACTCTGCTGCATTCATTGATGTCAGTGGAGTCTCACCAAAATAACTGTAATATGAGGAATTATACGCATGAAGTTTAAGCTCCAGGAGCTTCTCTGCAATGCTTATAACAATGAGCCAGCTTTAATACACAATTTATGCTTACTGTGTTTGATTACTTTGAGAAATCTAGGTCATCTGCCATACATATTGGTTTTCTAATTTTAGGAAAATGCTTTTTAAGCCTTGATAACCAGGAGAGAATGAAGGAAGCTAAAAGCTTAGCAGTTAAAAAAACTGAAGGAAATAACATGAGAAAGCAAGAAAGGGAAAATGTTTCTTACCACCAGCAGGATTAGCTGATCTGGATCCTTGATTATGAGGGCAGACCAAAGGACAGGCAAAAAGTGGATTAAAAGACATGAAGACAGTACAGCGTTCAGCATGCAGTTTATGCTATACACAGACAGATATATTCACAAATGTGCCACTCCAAGAGCCCCTGCAGAATGCAGTGAGTTAATGTGCAAATGCAAGTGATTTAATTTCCAAAGGCTTAACAGCTTCTCAGCAATATCAACCCACACTGAGACCCAAGTTCTGCTTAAATTATACCCCAAGCCCATGCTGTAAAACTGAAACAAAGCTACAAATGCATAGGCATACAAGTTTGTTCCTCTGAACATGTTATACATTAATTCATTATTTACTTCATGTAATGCTTGGATTAGGAGATTAAAGATCACATCTAGTTGTGCTAAGCTGGAATCAAGATTCAGCAAAGTAGACCAACAATAGGTACAGATGTGACTATCCTACAGCCTCATAAGTACATTGCATGAAAAAAATTAAACCCATAATGTTTGAACCACTCCACACTTCCTTACATATATCTGAAACTTGTCTCATCTGATCATTTCTCACTAAAGTAAAAAAAAAAAAACTAAGATAATTTATGGCTTTTAATCAAGTTTTAAGTTTCAAATGATAGGAATTAAGATCAGAATACCAAAGCCCTAATTCCTTCGTGACTTCAATGTAAAGACTTCCATTCAGCACCATCCTAGTTATAATGCTTCTCTCTTCAACCATCCCTGGTTATCATAATGCTATAAACTGCTTTCCCATATCTACAGCATGATAGAGCAAAGCAATGATGGCACAAACAAAGCAGAGCCTGCTTTGAAACAATTTGAGAGGTTCCCTCCCCCCCCGTTCCTTCTGAAGTTTGAATGACAAAATTCTCTTTAGACTCATGACAAATATGCAGCAATGTTTGCATGGCTCCTGGGAGAAACCACAGCTTGTAAGGAGGTCAGGGAACATGGATGCATCATGTGAATAAAGAGAATAGAGCCACCTCCCTCATATATACAGAAAATAGGTAGCATTCTATTCTAAACTGATGATAAAGCACGCATTAACTTTAGACAGTTCACATTACACATACAGAAATATTGTAACATAAGCAGGAGAAGCTTGACAGGGCAAGAACCCAGGACAGCAATTAGCTACAGACACAGAGGGCATCTCAGTGGGACCCAGTACAAGTTTAGTCTAGCATGTCACAAAAGCCTGCAGTTCTGCTGCACAACAGCAACTAAACATTCTGTTTTGGTGCCCTTTGTCAGTAAGAGCATACACTGAAAGCTAGCTAAGCGGGGATTCATTACATTATATGTCCAAATATTATTCACCAAAAGTGAGCCCAATTCTCAGCTGATGCTACCATAATTCAAGAGAAATGTAGTATTAATAATTGTTTTTTTTCTCCTCCCCCAGAAGTAAAACACTTCTTACGCTGGGACTGGGAAACCACTTTAGCCCGGCTGCGGCCTCGGGTATCAGCAGGTGTTGAGGTGACGCTGGTGGCACTGCCAGAGCTCTGCCTCCTTGTACGAATCCGACCTGGAGGAATGCAAAGACAAACTGTTAACAGGTTTCTTCCAAAGGCAACAGCCGTTTTCAAAGCACCATCTGTTCTAGGCTCGCAGCGTTGCTAAGCACATAACTAACCAGACTCAGAAGGCAAATTTTACAGGGAGACACGATGAAGAACGAGGGGATATACAGTGATGGTCCACACATCCAAAACTCTTTTTGCTTTCAGTAAAGCTATCAGCTGGCTCAATTTAAAAAAAAAGTGATCTCTAGTGCCTGTGCTTCTGTTCTGCAGTACCTTCTTTCCTAAAGAAGGGTCATAAGAAAATTCAGTTATCTAACCGCGACTCCTATGTAATTACTTTCTGATGAGGCGATCCCCCTTTCGCAGACAGGCACAGCAGCTGCAGCCACAAATTCCATGGCTGGGATTTGCGGACAGCTCGGTGCTTTCCGTCCTGCTCTCCATGTGCACCCAGCACGCACTGCAGTGAGTCTGCCAATGCTGCCCAGCTACGCTTTTATTTCAGCCTTGTTCACATCTCCCCGCTGTTTACTGATCCCTTGTATTTATACTGAGATCAGTGTAACTTTACTAGTAACGGTGATTCCCCTTTAACACAATGAACATAGTGGAAAAAACATTCCATGGTCTGCCCTTTATTTAGGCAGAGAATGGATACAAAGTCTCAAAGTGTTCTTGGTCCTTTTTCTGTCCTTTCCTCATGAAAAAGCCACAGTAATTTGAGCTAGAACAGCTTACGAGGCCATCAGTTCACCCCCCTCCTGCAGCAGAGCTGTTCCCCTCAGAATGTTCTTTCCAGTGCTAAGGTTCAATTATCAGTCTCTAGCTAATGGGAAAGAAATGATAATTAAGAGTAACACAAAGAAAGCCTCCACCAGCACTTTCAACAACTCTGTTCTCTGCCAAATCTGAAGCTGTTTCTCAGGACCAACGCCAAGGCTATCCTGCATTCAGAGGATGATTTCAAGTTGCAGGCATAATAATAAAAGGAAAAACACAACAGGTAAGATAACAGTCTTGACAACTGCATCCACCAATTAGATATTTATCTCCCACCCCACGTATCCACCATAAGCAAAGAAACACAAACAAGGAGATATATACCTCCCACCCAAAAACCAGGGAAGATTCACATGGAGAACAGGGCAATGGCACGCAGCCCCAGGCTGAGCAGAATGGGAGCTCTGTTCCTTTGCCTGAGCTCTCAAAATACTCATAACACAGGCTGCATCTTTCTGATAGACAAAGTGACAAAGAAAACTTTGAGAACAAAATCTAGATTTCTTTTCAGGGAAAAAAAAAAAAAAAAAAAAGGCATATGTACTTTACAATACACCTCATTTTAAAATCAAACTGGCAGGCTTAAAGAGCTATTCTAAAGCCAGCTAAGATAGACTGAGCCAAGATGAAGCAAGCCAAGAAAGAAGACTATATTCAAATCATTATTTATAAATGTGAAAGTAAAAATGAGTAGCCCAAAACCAGGAAGACACAAACAAACTGGCAGCTGTTGGTGTACAAAGCAAACAAGACGTTTAACTCAAGCAGTTTAAGGAACCAGTAATGGAATTGACCATCCATCCTTCCACAATGGCAGCAGAAAGCCTGTAACACAAATTGGAATTCAAGGCCCAGTAACAGGCAGCACTGGCAAGCGCAGTGATGTGCATGGGCCATGGATGGGTCAGAAGGGACTGATGCTTCCTTCTATGCATAGTCTACTGTTCTCACACTTCTCACAATTACCTGGTTTTCCTGCATCCACAAGATCACGGTGGGGTTTTTTGTTTTTTTGTTTGTTTGTTTATTTGGTGGTTGGTTTTTTTTTTTGCTTCATTAAGTATTAACTAAGAACAAAATTGAGACAAAATATAGCGACTGCCCAATCTTTAGGAAATAGAAAACCAAAAATAGTACATAAAGAAATATCAAGATCTGCTCCTGATGTCAATTTTTTGGACTTCAACAAAAAACTGAACCAAAAACTCAAAACAAATTAACATGCAAATACCAGCAAGATTAGAAAGTACTCAGTCTTATTTTGAAATCCCTAAAGGTCAGCAGAGAGATGCCTACAAGTTCATCAGTTTCTGAAACAATGCTCATGAGCAAGATACTGCTTCATTCTGGGCTAGTAGATTTTGGCTTGAACCCTGATGCGACTCAGAATGTGTCACGGAGAAGACTGGGATAAAAAGTGTCTCTTGAGAAGTGATAAAGTTTCATTAATTTACACTAATCCACCAGACAAAGATGGAGAGGGACGTGGGGTATTTCACAAGGTACCTCATCTCCACACACACACGCACAGTCCGTAAATTAGTCTTACAATATCCAAAACGTACTTTGCTTTTGTAATAATGCAAAATGAATCAGTAACTACCTGAGTGGAAAAATCAAGGTTTTAAGGTTAAGTTTTCCAAGTACAATATACATGTTAAAATGTTCATTTACACAACGCAAATGTCTCTATTACATTTCCTTAAGCATTCCATCTGCAAACAAGAGTCTGCACGCGTATCCACATTTGCACATAGGACTGTGTCATTTAATCCCTATCATTCTACCGCTGACAAAACATTTCAAGACCAGAAATAACATAGCAAAAGTTCAGCAGACCTTTTGTTGTTGTTCTTTAATGCAAACAAATCCAACTCCTGAACGCATCTTTGCTTTCAAAGAGGTTTGTTTCCATACTCAGCTCAAACTGCAGATGCAGCAATTCATATTTTATAGCTGATATTTTTTTGCTCTTCTTAAAAGAATTACTTTAATCTGAGAGCAACAGCACAGCAAATGAACAGATAAAGTCTGCCCCAACTAGTTTCCAAAAAGCATTAAAGTGCTACCATTTAGAAAAGCCTTTGATCTAAGTTTGACATGCAAAGGTGACACTCTGCTGGTACAGAAAGTATTTTGGAAGACTCCATATAAATGTTTTCTGTTAAGAAATCATTTGTAGGCTTTTTGTTTGTTGGCCTTTTTTTGTTTGGTTCGTTTTGTTTTTTTGTTTTGTTTTGTTTTTGTTTTTAGTTACTGCCATTTTTACAACAATTAATGGATCAGAATCAACTTTGAGATGTCTAACACATGCCTAAATCTAGCAGGGTCTTCAAAAAAAAAAAAAAAAACACAAAGACAACAACAAAGGAACAACTAAAGTAATTAGTGATTAGGAGCAGCTTTGCTCAGCAGCACTGTTCTGAACCCTCCTGGGTGGATACTACTGCATCACCACCCCATGACTCAGAACAAACACAGGCTTCTTGAGATTCAGCTTGAGAAGAAACTGCTTTTCTACTACTCCAGAAATCACAGATCGTATATAACAGACCCACAACTAAGTTTAATCAGTTCTGTGCTGTGAATAACAATGCCTACAATCACACAAGTTATAAGCAGAAGCACTGGGATGATAAGGGTATCCATCATCATGGATCAGTTCATGCATTCCCTGGGTTTTTTCCTCAACTTGGAAAAAGAGAAAAATCCCAAAAGAGCCCCTGGGACCCCCGTAGGTGTACATGCGTCATTTGGTGGTGATACAGTTGTGAAGAATACACAGTTATTTGATTTGTATGTAAACCTATAAAAATATATCCTTCTTACAGTATGCAAGGTACAGGTTCCATACATAGCACAAATCCAACATTACCAGTACATGACCTGACTTCACAGCACAATTTCCCCTGATGCACACCCTACCCTTACCATAAACCATCAGTATATGCTATTGCTTGGTTTTGTATAAGATCTTCTGACTGAGCAAAAGCAGCACGGTGCTGCTCTACACCAGTATGCACAGGCAACTCATGCCAGCACTTGCAAAGGGATCAACCAAGAGAAGAAAAAAATCTACTACCTGGGCATTTCACTTTAAGCTACCATGTTAAGTCATGTCTTCGAGTTAAACCTTGTTGCTGAGGACAATGAAGAGCTTTAAAGCAGAGAAGAAAACAAGAACAGTCATTTCTTGTCATTCTTGAAACTGTTATCCAAAGCCTTCGTTAAGGCTCAAGACGCTCGATCTTTTGAAGTCCAAATTATTTGAGAGCAATGATAAATCAGACTATTTTCTTTTTGGAGCGTAACAAGTATTATTAGGAATCGTGCCACTGAGTCTGGAAACTGCCAATTGTTAGTTATAAACTTGTCAGTTTGGGGACAGTCTTGAAAAATTTCCATGATAAAACAAGAGGAGACTTCTCTGAAGTTTCTCTTTAGTCATATACAAAAACAAGGATTTAGAGCACAACTGTTACTTGGATGGCACAAGCTGTAAAACCCCCATCAAGACTGAAAAGGTTTAACTCTTACAGGCTTTCTGCCTACTGAACTCTTCATGACACTCTGGAGACACAAAGGGTCTGGGTTATCAAAACATACCCTGCACGAAGACACAAACTCACAGCACACAGGCAGAAGATCTATCCAGATTAAAGTTGTATACAGATTCATGATATGTTGTCACACAGAAGAGCACTTTTGCAGCATTTGCTAACTGAGGTGACACTACTTAAAACCAAAGAACCAACACTCTCCTCAGCTTGCCAGTGGCACAAGCCACTTTTATCTTGCTCCTCTTTTAAGATGCCTGGCTCAAAACCAAAACACTAAGGAGAACCAAGGGCAGAGCAGATGGGAACTGCCAAGTTTGCACAATGCTGGCTCCCAGCTGAGGGGAAGGTGCAAAACTTCTACACTGCAGCTACAAAAAGCCATGATGGGAGCCAGATTGCAGATTAAACAATGCTGAACGACATGCACATGCACACACACATACAGAGGAAAAGAAAACAAAGATTTGCTCTTGTAGTAGATACTAGTAACCTGCAACAAAACAGAGGTATACATGCAAAAGGAACTTTTGCTTTCTGTTCAAAGTTCATCTCCTGCCCACATGCTATTTCCAGAAAAAAGATCACACTTGGATCTGCTAATTTTCATTTCTAAGAATATAAAGTTCTGCCTTCTCTACACTCTGCAAGATCAGGCAAAAGGCCCCTCTCCACACCCTCATCTGAAAGGCACAACAAATTGCCATCTGAAGGCTGTTTTTTGCTGTAACAAAGAGAAACAAAGATCACAATGAGTTTCAACCACTGATTAAACTCATCCAGGGCTCTGGCTGTGGTGTGCCACAATGCTATAATCCTTTGTGAACCCTGCTCCCCTCACCAAAAAAGAATCCTACAGCAAAAGAGATGAGCTCTCATATTTAAGGTAACAAAGGCAACAAAAAGCAATTTTTGAAAGTCCATCCCCCCAATCTTCCCCCCCACCTCACCCCAGCAAGTGACTGGCTGGTTTCTATTACAGATTTTATTTTTTTTTAACCAAACCACATCTGTATCCAGTGTAGTCAAATGGGAGGAAAACAACCCTAATTTAAAAAGTATTTTGCATAATGACAATAGAGCATTTAATAAACTAAAAGTGAGGGCATACCAGAGGACAGCTCCCAGAACAGACCTCCACAAACACCATTACAGTCCAGGAGAGGATCTGTACATTGCATAGGCTATTTCATAAATTAACACAAAACATTCAGTGTTTCTACATTAGGGGAAAAAAAAAAAGAATTTTTGAAAACTATGGAGAAGAAAAGAAATGAAAAAGAAAGATCAGCAAATTAAAAAAAAAGCTAAGGATTAAAACAACTTGGAACTTTCATTTAATCTGACACTGACTTCAATACAAGCGTTTAGGCCAACTTCATATACTGAGAGATCATGAAGGATAAAGAGCTGTTCATGATTCTAAACCAGTTCACCTTCCAGTCATAAGTTTAAGAGCCAGTTCTGGAGATGGTAGACACTTCTCCCACTAAATATTAAATTGATGCATCAGTAATAGGAAGGAAAGAAAATACGTGATAACAGCACAGCGGCACTTCTCAGAACACCACATCCACATACAAGCACTCATCAAGGATACTAACACAGTCCCATCAAACAGTAATAGATCCCTTGAAAAGAGACTTCTAACAGGAAAAAATTGGTTGGGCTGGGAGGAAGTGTCTTCATTATGTGTAGAAGGCCTTGTTTTCAATCCCTGTCTGCCTCAAAAAAAAAGTTTCCCAGTGATTTTGTTTTGCTTGAGAAGAAGAATAAGCTTTGACAAAAAGCCAGACAGCCAACCAGACTGCAGGCCTTCCCAAACTAGCAGGCTCAGTGTTCTTGAAAGAAAAAACTTTCCTCCAACTGTTTTAGATGTAAACATCTCAGTTAACAATAAAGAGAGAGAGCTCAGGTTTAAAGAGGGTGACTAAATGCTCCTTCCCTAGAGATCATTGTTTACTGTCCTCATTTTTCTGCCATGTGATCATCTCATTCAATTCTCTTGCTGCTCAGTCTCTTCCTGAAAGCATTTGGCAGTTGTGACCTGAGCTTTGGATGGAAAAACACAGCAAACCTTTACACAACACGGAGTAGGAAAACACAAGCCCTGCTTTTGTAATCTGTGCTCAGGTCACCGTCAACCAAAAGCGCTGCTATGAATAGGAAGACACACATGCAATTCTGTGATTAGAAATCAGTCATGAAACCAGAATAGTGCCATTAGCAGGGAGCAGCTTGAAGAGAAAGTGAAGAACACCCCATGGCATCAAAATGAGCAGGACAACCATGCAACACTTCATGCAGGTCACCAGTGAACATGGATGAGAATCAGTAACACTTTGAGAACAGACCAGGTAGAGTGGTACGACTGTAGACACATCTCAGTTACATAGAGAGACTGCTTACCCTCAGTTTTAGTAGTAGTACCATCTTTAAGCAAATTAAAAAAAAATAAGGCAAGGATTAATAGGGAAGAATTATTAACATTAACAGAAATGGGCACTATATATTAGCTAGAGAAGTATGGTAAAGAAATTAACACGAACAAATGCAAGAAGTTTGAGCAATAAATTAGAGCTTGATGAATCTGTAGAAAAGGTTACAAGTTTTTCTTCCCACATACATCTAATGTTTGTCAAACCCCACTTTCTTTGTTTGCCTCACCATTTCTCTCATGGAGACGCAAAGATAGCAAATATCCCTGCTGGCTCAAAAGGAAACAGACAGACTCCTTTAGGAGCAGCCATGCTTGCATAACATGAACAAACACAACACGTTTCCTGGTTTTCTCCTTCAGTGCCTTAAGAGCAACAGTAACACTGTACTCAGTTTCCAGGCTTCAAGGACAAAACCAGCTTTTAGATTTTCTTCCCCACTTTCTGTTCTTCTTTGTGACATACATCAGTGCAAAAGCATATCTGCCATTGAAGCCAGCACACCGTGCATCTAAAGGGTGGCTGTGTCCTTAAGTTCTGAAAGCACATTCTTAAGCAATCAACTCCATGGATCTGTATTAAGTGCTCACTGCAGTGCATCTAAATCTTGAACTAAATATGAACTAGCAATATAAATCAGAATAAAACATGAACTTCTGAAGCAAATACAACCAATACATTAAAGACACTATAAAGGACTTCAGATATAGAAGAAATACATCTACAAAGGGAATCTATAAAAAGCATCCTTCTTTAATCTGAAATAAGATCAAATGCTCAACACCAAGGAAAAACTACATTTCAGCTGACTCAAGGAAGGAATGAAGGCTATCTGCACAGCTAAAATCAAGAACACTGACTTTGACACTCACTAGGCATCCAATTTTTCTCCTTCTTGCAAAGGTAAAAAATCAATAAAAACCTCAAGAATTAGATTACTATGCAATCTGCAGAATTATTTGGTGTTGGTCACTGCCTTGTACTTCCTACTTCAGCAAATTAGCAGCATCATCTCCAGGAGAGAAAGATCAAATGCAAACTTTGCTGTAAGAAACACTGGTGGGTACCTGACAGCGATACACAGTGCTTGGACAAAATAGCACAGTGTGGCTATAATCCAAGAAGAGTCAGCAATATCTTACATCCCAACTGTGTGATGAAATGAGAAGGCCTGCTTTTCTTTGCTTCTGTATCTTTTACAAAATAAAGTAATCAAACTCAACAAAGATGTACTCCTCAAAGCACAGAACAATCCATGGAAAACAAGTGTCAAGGAAAGGAAGGAAGGAAGAAGAAGAGAAGGGAAAGAGACAGAAGGAAATGTCAGAAGTAATAAAGCACTAAGCATTTTCCTCAACAGCATCATGGAACCAGAATAAGATCTACTTTTCCCCAGAAAGAAGGCTGAGACTATCAAAATAATTCACAAAAATGGAAAGTTGTTCCAAGACAGTTCCTTCGCAAATTTTTTGCTTAATTCCAAAAAGCAAGAGATCACACATGTACACCCAAGAACTGTTAGCCATCTCAGAGAAATGTTCTTCCAGTTACAGAGTTGGACATTCAAATCAAGTTACCTAGGCAATTCCTGAGAGTAAAGAAAGCTGACTGCGACAGTAGAACATATAGGTTTACCTAGTGATGCATATGAGCCTGGGGGCAGGGCTGCAGCAGAACTGAAGGGGGTGGATGCTCCAGAAGATGTCACTTTTGACTTGGCACTAGCTGCTGCATTCACATCAACGTCACTGCGGGATCGCTGCAGAGATCCTGGTGTTGACACAGATTTTGTACTTACTGTAGATGCTGCAGATGGGAGTGGGAGACCCAGATTAAAGAGATTAATTTTTTGAGCTGTGTGCTTCAAAGAGCACAGCAAGCAGTTTAACGTACTATTTTTAACTCTCTCTAATTGCACTGAAATACTTAAAGAATGTCTTATCAGGGTAATGTGGGTTTCTCCACAGTGACTGAAAAGACATTTCAAGAACTTCATCAGACACTAAACCTAAATGACAAGAAAAGGCTACCAGGCCAGCATTACAACAAAACTCAGGCAGAGTACCCATCACCAGCTTGTGAGCTGCCATCTAGAAAAGACTCACAAAGGTCCTTCAACCAGGTTTTATACATTGCTGGAAGTACCTTCCTTCTCAAAGCATCTTCTCATGAGGATCACTGTTCCCACTATTCCATGTTATTTACCCTCTGAAGCAAAAAATTTGCCTATTTTGCTGCAAGCATGCATGCATTTGTGGGCACAATAAAGTAGGCGCCACACAAAATTCTCCTTGGATCCAAGGTGTCAGCAAAGTATGCTGACAGGGGCAGAAGGTGTCTCTGTTATGTTCTGTATTCAGATGTACTACTTAGGTTATTATATGCATATGCTTAAGACAGGAAGGTTGTCTGTACTTGTCGACAGGAAAATACAGAAGCATACAGGCTTGGGTTGGGTACCTGAATGAAGAAAACAAACACGCCTATTGAATAAGGAAACACTTTTTTTCTTATGTATTCCCTTGTTGCTGCACTTATAAAGCAAAATCAGCAACTCTTGGTCACACCCAAATATTCTACTCGTAAAAATAGACTAATCAGAAAGCGAAATTTAACACTGTAGGAATTCTGTGCATACAGTGCTTCCAATGAGTGCTGAAACCATAAAAAACAAGTGAGAGAAAAGTGTAAGGGTGAATGCTAGGTAGACTACCTAGCTGCATGTACTAGCATCAGTAGGAGTCAATTCCAGCTATTTCACCCCTAAACTTACCTTAGCTACAATTTTTAAAGCATTTTAGCCTTCCTTCAGGTGCAAGCAGCAACAAAATACAAGCTTTTAAAGGCATCAGTGCATCAGATGCCAGTGTACAAAAATGGGTGTACAACCCAGAGCTGATTAAAAACTACATAATAAGGTGCCATTTTTAAGGAGTAGTAAACAGAAAAGTTGTCCTTTGCACACTATAGTACACAAAATACTCATTTTACTTCTTCACAATTCCTCAGCAACATCTCACCGCATTTTCAGCTCCTATTCTCACCTCTTGATGTAGTACTTCCAGTAGGACTTCTTTTGGCAGACAGTGGACGGCTGGAAGTTAATATAAGTATTTATTAAAACAAAACTGATATATCACAGTCAGCAGTAACAGTGCTTCTCTGTTCCCTCAGTACATAACTGAGTTAACAGGAAGTTACTTATATTCAGGAAAGACTAACAAAGCCTACTTTTTAAAAATATAAATACAGCATCGTTATGAAATTCTCTGCGAAAGGACTAAGGACTTATGTATGTTAATTGGGAAGTGATCATTAAGAACAGGCTGTAGGTTTAAAAGGTTGTATCAACGTGATGGGTATTTTTCAGGTATCTTCAGTTGCAGATATTTGCAGCCGAAGTTGATCATCTCTTCAAGAGAAGCAAGAACACATACATGTATCAGATGTATGCATTTTATTTTAATATAATGTAAGCTAGATTTTAGTATAATCAAGCTTTGAGGCCACCGATAACCAGACGAGATAAGCAAAGCACAGAGTACCCAAAGCAGCTCCTGTGAATTTGAGGAAGCAATCACGTTATCTCTGCAGTTGTTTAAACCAAGAGAGAGGTAACGATGCCCAATGACTTACTTGAGACTCTCCTGGGAGCTGGAGGAGGAGCGATCCGACTGTGGCAAGGACACAATGCTGTCAGAGTTCTTCAAATGTGACTGCAGGGCCTTCTGGTAGGAGGACTCCAAGGTGTGGTACAAATGGTCTGCCTCTCTGCTGAAGTGACTGTGGAAACCCCAGTAACACCTGGGAACAAGGCACGATGCTGTTAATACTTCCTTGTCACATTTTAAAAGGTCAGCGAAGCACAGGTACAGTCAGAGCCTTTTTCACTAATGGCTGCTTAGCAGGCTGCTTAGTCCAGACATTTCAATCATCCACAGCCTCCATGCACTTAAGGCATAACACTGAGTAACAAGATTGCAAGAATGACAGCCTCACAGAAGACAAACAAAAATAGCAAAAAGGGGAACTTACCACCTGGGGCTCTGTACAACATAAATTACCAAAAAAGCTTTGTCACAAAGGAAATTCTCATATCCCTCCAGCTGTCTACCATACATAAGTGACAGACCGAGACTAGAACCATTACCAGAATGAAGTTAGCATAGGACTAGCTGATCAACAGACAGTTCAAAAACAAGCCAAAAGCAGAATACACATGCATGGGTCTGATTCAGGAAATCACCAGCAGGTGCTTTCTTCCTCAAGTTTAACAAATAGCTCTCATGCATCACTGCAGAGAGAAATCTTTTGTAGAGTTAAGGCTGCTGACTATCTTTTGGGAAAATTAAAGAATAAGATGCTTCAATACACTTCCAATCAGTACCATACTGAAAGTAAAAGAGCATTTAAAGTAGGAATTCCTCTCTGGTCCTCATCTCCTGACTGATGCTAAAACACCATTCATTCTCATCACAAAGGAGATGAAGTCTCTCAGCACTTTTCAGGGGCCAACTAAGGGGCAGTTTGAGAGCAAGACCATTAGCTCAAATGAATCAAGAATTGTTTGTATGAGACAGTCAGTTCTCAGAGAAGTCACATGCGTTCTCACAGCAGTAAAAGGAAACAAATTTCTGTCTTACACACAGTAATGCTTAATTAAGAAACATGGGAAAAGAGAATTAAGTTTGTTTTCTAAGGTTTTATTCCATTTTCCTTGCTGCCTTTTCAGCTTAACTAGTAGCCCGCTGTGAAACCTCAGTGGATGCTGTATTTTTCCAGTAATGCAAACTTTCCCTTTCAAAAGGATTTCAACAGTCCTACTGTAAAACACCTCTGCCTACAATATAGCATTTAGATTAACAAAATATATTGTTTAGTGATTTCTTATTTAACAGCATCCTCTTTCTGAAGAAAGATGTCCCTGTTGTCTTCTAAACAGAAGATCACGACCCCAGTATAAGAGCACACTATCCTAAATACAGACATTGTAACAAATGCAAGGGATCTTCAACAGAAAAAAACTAATTACATTCTCTGTACACACAAAGATATTGTTTCACTGTCAAAAATAATTCCTCTACTTAGATAATATTTAGCAGCATACCAGCATAGTGACTTTTATTTCAAGAATAACAAATACCACATTATTGTATGTAGGTAAAAAGAAAAGAAAAAACAACAGAATAGCTTTCTTGCAATCACTTCATATGACATCTTCTACTACCTATTCCCTTTGAAAGGGAAGAAGTGCTAGCCTCAGTTGCCAGAACATTACTTGCCTTTCAGAGTCTCCAACATGTAATACCATAACTCACAACATAAAGAAAGGGAAAGAAGAAAAGGTAACAATAGCTTCTACTTACTTTCTTGCTTCTATCCTGGCTTCAGAGTCTGCATCATGAATTCCCTTCTTTATTGTTTCAGCTAACACTGATATGTGTCTGAAATAAGAAAGATACATGGTCCAGCAATCCAGACCAGCACACTACTTTTACAAACAACTAACTTGGCTTTCCCTAGTGTCCCTGAACAGAGTTCTTCCCATTTCCACTCTGTACATTTTGTAGCTCCTACTCTTTTAAGTCTGTTTAATTTCATTCACACTGCTGAGTAGAAAAAGGCAAGTAGCATTCTTCATTGGTCCATCTTTAGTCAGGTAGTTGAAACTGCCTGGGTCTGAAAACACTTTTCTCAACCCTTATGATGTCTGGTCAGCCAAGGGCTAAAGAAATTGGGTCCCAATAGGTATCCCACAATTTCTTCTACTGTTCATTAGTCTCAACTACTTTACAAGCCTCAGATGCTCCTGTTAGATGTATAGCAGCCATCACCTCATCTTCTCACTTTAAGGTGCAAAAGGAAAAAAGATTTATCAAGTTCAGAGATTCGTTCAGACAGGTTTTCTAGGGCTGGCGTAAGAAACAGACTTGCTGAACTCTGGCTGCCAGAACTACATGGATGAACTGCAAACATGCACACACACACAGATGCTTTTCTTGCCACAAATATATTTACTAGAACTATGTGAATCTCACCTCTAAGACTATTCTTTCTACAGACCTCACCTCCCAGACATTAATAGGCTAGAATTAACTCCTCTGTTTTCAGAGCTTACCTTTCTAGGGAGTGGGTTTGCCACTCCTGCAGCAGCAGGTCTAAAAATTCAAAACAGCGCCTGAGAAGAAAAAGGAGAAGTGTTGAGTTCTCAAAGTTAAGAGGCACACTGACTTCATCATATCTGCCTCTGCACAGTAGTCACCTTTTGTTATGATGGTTCTCAGGACATTATAATTCAAGAAGAGCCACAACAGAAACATCAAGAACTCTACAAATACTGTCAATAAAAACTGCAAAGTAACTGGATTCATCTCTCTAGAGGGTCTCAACAGAGAGATGTAAAACAAACCAAAAGGCACCCTTAGATACTGGCAAACATACAAATTAGAACCACCCTGTACTCACAAGAGTTCAAGCTTCACAAGGAAACTCTGCATCTTGCTTCTTTTCAGCTTCGCTCTTCATCATTTACAGAAAGGAAGGCATTTGTGTGATGTGATTTTTTTCAAGTTTTCTCACAAAATTCATCAACTACAAAGACCTTTTCATTTAACTAGAGAAAAAAAGAATCAATCTGTATGGCACAAGCAATAGTCTCCCAGCAAGGCTGGCAGAGTGTACCACACCTTGGTTTTAAACGTAGAGGGAGCATGTACTCCCCAGCAATACCACAGAGCAGCATCTCTGCTGACAGGCTCAAAGAAAATACATCACTGCAAAGATTAGTAGTGGGGAACAAAAGCATGTCTGTGGAAAAAAACAATTTTAAAAGCTAGTGTGACATTATAGGTAAGCAGAGAGATTAAAAAACATGCTTCTTTCAGAGAAATTGCCTTTTTCTCTCAGTGATGCTGCATCTTATGTATAATAGCTGATTTTGAATTCGTTCCCAGCTCACTGGGGAGAATAAGACGAATTTTCTGGAGCAATGGCTGTAACAGCTCTTTCCACAAATAAAAACAAATATGATTTTTATCTAAAGTATACACGATTCTATTTACAGGTAAACTACAGCAGAACTTCAAACTAAATGCTCACCTTCTAACCGCAACAGACTTGGAGGTACAATTGCTGGTTATGATGGGTATTAGTCGGGGGATGTGTGTATGCTAGAACAAAAGAAAGAACAAAAACAGGAAGAAAACTTTATAGTTCTGTGGAATGAAAAGTAATTTGCAACAGCCACCTGAGCTCTGTATGCTTTTTTTTAAAAATTGAACTGCTAAATAAGGAAACAGTTCTGAATGTAGACAGATTCTTCAATGTATACATTTTAACAGTAAAAATACTTTTAACAGATTTTATTTTTTCTTCTGTCAAAGAGCTGGAGTCATTTCAAGAGGATCTGAACAGTCAGTGGTCACAGCTTAAGAGTTGTCAGGCTATCTGCAGGTTCCCTAGCAGAAGCCACCTCTGCAACCTAACTGTTTTAGGCAACATATGCTATCTCTGAGGAGTTTTATAGCATATTAAGTCTGTATTGCAAGTCAAGATTTAAAACCAATTCAAAAAATTTGCTCATCTCTGAGGGATAGAAATACCTCACTCTATAAAGAAACATTTTTCTTATCACTTCTGCCACTTTTTCCTGCTATGTAAGAATGGCTTACCTATCATCATCTACCTACACAAGGCTTTATTACAACTGGAGACAGACAAGCCTAGCTCAATCAGAAGAGTAGATTTGACATTTAATCAAATTTTCATGGCAGTAACATCTGTATTTTCTCAGAAACAGCATAGCATTTGGAAACAATGAGATGTTGTTCTCTTTTGACTGATACTTACTCGAATGATTAATCTAACTGCTACAACACCAGAAGTGGCCATGACTTTGGCACTATTTGGAATTAGATTAAAAATTGTTGGCATAATGGCTTCTGCCCCATGATCAAACTTGTTTCCCAGAACTGATGATAAATGTCTGTAAAACACAATGAAGTCATACTGTTAAGAGTGCTGAGGATTAAGCAAGTCAGATTTCTACAGAACATAACATCAGCACATATAATATCTCACTCTTCACAACTGTCACCTCCTCTCCAACTCTAAAGGACAGAGCAATTTGTTTTTGAAATAGTTCCTTTCATTTCAAGTTCATGTTCCTCGTTGAACTGAACTGTGAGAAATATTTTCTAACAAACAAGTGTGACAGTAATAATAGAACTATTTCTCCAGACTTGTTAGTTTCTTTGAAGTGATCAGTTTTGCATTCATATGCATGAATTTCCACAAAAAATACTGTTAGAAGCACTACAGGCTTTTTCTTAAATCATTTCATTAAGAATAAAAAAATCAAAAATATAGCTCAGTCTGAACTAGAACAGAACTCATTTTTGCATCTCTCAATCACTAACGGTTAAAACTCAACAATATGGGTTTGTTCAACTACAAGAACATGGTTTTAAATAGCCATAGCAAAATTTCAATCCATTAGTTAATTCGTGTGTGTCTTCTATCCATCATCTGTTCCATGTTCCTACAACCCATTTCAAGCATGTTTGGAAAGTAAACTTACCCCAGCGTGATACAAGCTTCCCGCACTACCTGAGATCGCAGGTCTTTAGCAGATAATTTAAATGCTCCATCCAGGAGCCGTAAGTGTTGGAAGAAGTTATCGTATTCTGCAGCTCCAGCCAACAGTAAGGAGCGGATCTTTTTCAACTGTTGGCATGACAAAACAAAGCAGTGACTGTTAATGAGCAATGTACAGAAGGACACTTAGGTTCAGAGCTCGTGTGTTGCTCCCAGGGTCTCTGTACAATCCACTTGTTAAAGAACACCAAGCAATTTTATTTCAGACCTTACATATAATTCACAGGTTAACATAATAAGAATACAAAGTAATATAAACACAGTAGCTGATACAGCAATCCACAAGTATTACATATGGCTTCTACAACTGTATTGTTAATGACCCAAACGTTACTTCTTAAGCCAACAGTTGTCAAAGATTCATTTTTATTCCTCTTAGTATCGACCTACTTACAATAGTTTCTAAAACATAGAACCTCACATAGCTACCTAGCTTCTTTGAAAGATGGGTTAACTCGAAACGCTTGACTTACACTCAGATCTGAGTTGTACTGACTTATATCTAGAATTTGTTCATTGACTTCATTAAAGTAAATAATTATATGGGCCTATTAGAAGTGCAACCCTGACCTTACTAAAGCAGCATATTTTCTAGTGATACTGGGACCACAATTTCTTCATAAAGAGTTTATTCTGGATATCTCCATGTGACCTCATGAACACAGTCCCTCTATTCAAGCTTACTACTCTCACTACAGCAAAGAAAAATGAAGCTGAATCAGCACAAGCTGATGCTTTCCTGTAATAGATGACTTGACAGACATGTCATAGCTGCTGTACCAGTGATCAAAGTCTACTATATAGAAAAGTGTATGCATCTATTTGTATTATGCAAATGCTCATCTCAGAAAACAGGACAATCTTGGTATGCATACAACACTCACTTTTCCACTAATGCATTTCCTACATTTATAACCATTTATTCAAAATTTGTTTAAATTTTCTGAATTGTTTGCTTTTATTTCTGTTTTGCAAAAGTATAAGTGAGCTGTCTACAGGCAAAATGACTTTCTGCCTCAACAGGAGGTTTTAAGGGATTCTGGATATCATTTTTGATATTTCCATCACACTATTTCAGCATCTGTTAGCAAATTTCTAGCTTTACATCTAGATACATCTAGCCTGCATGACTTCCAGTTCAACCTGATGTTGGCTTACCAGATGCCTTTATATCAAAAATAGTATCTTCATCCAGAGACATGGTTTAAACTCAGTCTCATAAGGAAATGTTTCCCCTAATCTTGGGGAAATACAACAAATGCTTACCACTTAAACTGCAATTCAGTCTTACTCTGAGATTCTCTAAGCAAATTCTTTCATAGGATAAGCTCAGTGAAGGAAAACCTCATATTAATAGAGTTCATGAGGAAGTTAACTACTTACAGCAGATACTCTCTGCTCCCAGTCATGTTTATCATCAGATAGTATCTCTCTTATTTTGTTTATGGATTCCTCAAGATCCCGGCTAGAATAAATCTGTAAATTTAAATAGAGCAGAATCATAACATGGGATTTGCATAATGCAAAAAATTTACAGAAATCTCCTTCAAAAATTATAACACGATCAGAGAATAACTAAAGGATTGTCATCTACTATTTTACTGCAGTTTCAGAATTTTAAGCAGTATTTCTGTACTGCATACAGCCAAAAAAGTTAATGAGAAAAGTTAAAGTCAAATGTATAACTGGCATCTACAATAAAACAGTCAGTAAAATGCTAAAATTCCTGCTTTATGGAAGAGATAACTGGATATGCTTTATGGAGCTAGTCAACAATCAGGAGCTAGTCAACAATAACCAGGGAAAACTCATTCCCACATAGAAGTGAGACCTTAATCTAAACTGGTTATTAAAACTACAGGTACTAAAAATGTGTATACAATTAAACAGACACCCTGTATTGGAACACAGAAGAAAGCTGTCAAAAGAACAAAGCCAGTCAGTTCGAAAGCAGATTCACTGAAAATACACAAGTGTATCAAAAGAGTAAGGCTAACTAAGTCACCATCCTACCCTTCAGCCCAGGTTAGGTTCAAGGGTGAGCTGGTAAAAATCATGAGCACACTCGTGTGGTCTTCTTGCCCCAGCAGGTAAACTGTGAAGGAGGAGAGGTGATGCACCCCACATACCAGCTACCTGACTAAACCTGCCACCAAACACGCACTATTCCATCATAGCACTCAAAACAGCAGAGATCCTGGAGGCACAAATCACCTCCATTACTTTCAGTTTCCATATAAAACAAACGAAACAGAGAGGCTCCTGGGGACTGGAACAGTGCTGTATGATCACACAAAACACCAACAGGCCCCATCCAGTGCCAGCTCCAGTATCTTCTCCTATGATGCCTCTACCACAAACCTCCTGGCTCCCTTCCCTCCACTTCTGAGCACTTCACACCAATCTAATGGCATCTACCACCATTTTGAAGTTCAACCCCTACATCCTTCAACCTACCTTTCCCTTAAGGAAGACTCGCCAGCATTCAAGCAAAGGGAGATCTATCAGCGATAAGAACTGGACTCTACACCTATCTTTTGCTGTTCTGTGTTATGTACTTTAGCTTATAATTCTACTTACTTGAACTGTTGGGACATCTTCAAATGCCTTAATGAAGTCTTCTTCATCCACAGCACCTGCTCCCTCTTTGCCTGCTGACAAATAACAAAAAAGTCTTTTCGATCTTCTTATCAAGAGAATCAATTAAGAAACCACCAGCTATCTATCAAGGCACCTAATCAGGAGAAAGTTCACTATCCACACACAACCTCAGAGTGCTGCAAATGTAATAAAAATAGAGGCAGGAAAATTGAGTGCCAGGCACGAAGTGCACATTTGTAGCATCCTTCAGCTCCAAGGCACAGAGGGCATACTACTAGTCATTACAGTAGTCACTCAACAGTTAGGGGCATAGTCTGAAAGATGAAAGGGAATATTTGCTTTCATTATATGGGAGATTTTATTTTAAAGGATTTAATCCTATCTATAATAGATGAAGGTGCAGATCTTCTGACACCTGCACAAGCAGACAAACGATAAGGAAGATAAACAGTCTCTGGAATATTAATCACATTAGAAACCATGAAAGACAACTTCCTCCATTTCTCTAGATCTTTTGTAATGACATTTAGAATTGATCACATTCCAAATTATCACTCCCTTCTTCTCTTTCACCTTCACTGCTAGCAATGCCTGAAGGTCTTAAAACAAAGTCAACATGTTTTGGCCCTTAAGTTTTATCACGTAGCTGTAAGCTGCCTGCATCAGTCCAGCTGAAGAGTGTCAGCCATAAAAACAAAAATTCAAATTATGCATCACTGATACGTTTTACCCAAAGCTCTCACTGCACAGTGACACAGTTCCAACCTTACACAAAGGCAGTGTATGCTAGAGGGATGTGAATAGTGTTTGCAGACTCACGTACATTGTACAGACTCACTTGCATTCAGGCAAACATACAAGTAACAATCTCACATGGGAAACAACTGCTTCTGGGTACCAGGAAAATGATATGGCCTGAAAATCCTGGAAATAAGCTCAAACATGAACACTACAAATATTCCATGTAATCAGCTTACTTGAGGACTTGGATCCCAGAGCTGCAGACCCAAGTCTGCGAGTAGTCCCCATTCCAACTCTACGTGAGTTTGCAGGGGCCTTTGATGATGTAGAGGAGTTAGCTGAGGAAGGTCTGTTCCCATCCACAGAGTCTTCATCATCAAAATTTTTATCTGCCGAAAAAAGAAAAAGCATAGTCAACCATATCAGGGATTTCTAAAGGAACATGCCAATGTGATGGCAAACACATTGCCTGGCCTGCTGAAACACGAGCTGGATCTGCTCTGCCAGTTTCCTTCTAAGCAGCTTCTTTATGATGGCAATCCAGTTATTCAGGAATGACCACCAGCCAATGAGACCATTTCTACACTACTGCTGCCACTACTTTATAAACCTTTCAATGACTGTGTTCTGACAGAAGAAACCACAAAACAACAAAAAAAAGATAAAATCAGAGCTAATACTTGAGCTGCCTACAGTCTATATCTCCAATTCATGTATTTGTTGCATGTAGTTTAACATGAGCTGTTTTGTAAAAAAAACAAAACAAAACAAAAAAAAAAACACAACAATAGACACGAGGAAATCCATGTGTGGAAAAAGATCAGGAAGAGCCAGCTGCCCTTTCACACCATGCTAACTGCCTGCACAACATCAAGAACAAACAACAGACTAATCCAGGAAAGATCACATGGCAACACCTATGCTGCTGATAAGCCACAGAGATTTCCCTTTGGGACCATTAATCACAGACCCAACCTAAAGCTGTACATCCATTCTATGTTTTTAAGTTATCAGCAAAGCTTCCCTGCAACAAAGCAAGGAAACAGCAAACGATTATCTAAAATTAAAAAAAAATAATAAATTTAGGTGAACTGAAACATATAGAATCCTTTGTATCCATCCAAAGGCCCTACTTCCAAACAGGACATAAATTAACTTCAAATGAATTACAGTCACTTTGATTTTCAGTGAAGGTCAATTCAATTCCAAAAGAGTGCTTATATTGCAGTTCTATACAAATTAGCTAATCCACTTTAAAAAATGGCCTTAGGTTGAGAGGTGACAAAACATTTGGACAGCTGATATAGATGAAGTGCATAATTTATTCAGGGTAGAAAAAGCCCCTCAACCCCTCAACATGTAGCTTTTCCACACTAACATTTAATTCAGGATTTGAGACATGATCCGTGCCCATCTCAACCCAGTGATTCATGGTATGGCCCAATCTCACTGTTTCCTTTGAGAAATTTCACTCAACAAACACCACAAGCAGGAGCTTTAATCCATCCCTACTCAGGAAAGCACCTGGGAGCATCAAGTAACCAATACAGGCTCCTATTGGACACTAATGACTAAAACTCAATACACGTTGAGCTTCTTGTAAGAAAAACTGGTAACAATAAAGACACATTCTAGTCAAGTAAAAAAAAAAAAAAAAGAGAGAGAGAAAGAAAAAAGACTGTGTTGTCCTTACCCTTATTTTCCCTCCCCAAAAAGGCTCATAACAGCTACATAGAGCTGTCACAGTTTATCTGAAAATCTAAAAACTACATCTGCAACCTGTACATCTCTGCAGGATGGCACACTCCAATCACAGCACTGAAACAATACCAAGACAGCATCCAGAAAGTTAAGATGGCCAAAGATGCTTTCCCATTAATTTTAACATTCAAAAAGCCTTGGATTATGGCAAAGGAAAAAAAAGAGTAACTTGTAAAGGAAAGCAGGGGCAGTAACAGGTATTTCAGTTGCTGCTCAGGCAGAAGTGAACAAGACAAAAATGAACACAGAAGCTTTATGATTAAGAAATTTAAAGTCACAGCAAGAAATTTGACGTCAACTTAAGGAGAAGAGCAACCATTACATTTAGGACATGGGATCCATCACACAGTGCCCTAAGGCAGCCATGGAGACTGTACTACTTCCCATTGACACTTGCTGGTTTGTTCTGACATACATAATTGAAAATATGACATTCTTAAAAAGAGCTCAGAGAAAAGCCATGAGAATGACTGGAAAATACATTTTTAATCCCCTGCAATGAGCTTCCACTTAATTTGTTTACCCTGATCAGATGCTTAGCAAGTTGCTTGACTGTATTTGTTAACACAGCAGCTGAAGACTGCGTGTAGTTTTCCAATGTGATTTATTAGTGTTGTTTCTCCATCTAGTAGAAAAGGTGCCTTACTTGGCAAGTTCCACTACAGGAGTATATTAAAAACACTGAATTCTGTAGGTTGTTTTTTCTTTTGCTTTCTTTGCTGTTTGTTTTGTTTTTCGTTTCCCCTGAAAGATACAGCCTAGTTCAAACAGGAATTTTACTTCAAAAACATTATTGGTCAGAGTTGCACAGAAGGTCATGGTAGATGAAAATAAGACTCTAAAATGTGTGATCTCTGAAGCCTACAGAAAGGGGTTTACGGGAGGATGATAAACTCATACAGACCTTGAATACACCCAGGCCAAATTCATCCAATTTACATTTATTTCAAATGCTTACATTTAGATATTAAGCAAATATTATTTATAATATATATTACCAGCCAAGAGAAAGTCAGTCATTCTCGGAAAGTACTTCATTACTTCAAAACCACTTTTATCTGGTAATGCAATTCCCCATCAGTTGCACTACAGGCTATCTAAACACTATTATTTAACTTACTTCCTCTTCTACCCGTACTCTTAAAACCCCTCCAAAAGGGAGTGAGGGTGTTGTTTGCTATTTTATAAAACATGCAAATTCAGAAAAACATTATAAAGATTGCACTCCTGTAGTTTATTTAATTGCTAAAATGCTATGTAAAACAGGCTTCTCTGAGCATTAGCTATAATCAACACACACAAAAAAGAAATACAAGAAACAACCAGCCCACAGTTTTGGAGACGTTTAGGTTACAATCCCATCTCTTGTTCATTTAGCCTACAAAAATATATATATATATATAGTTATCAGAATAGTTCAACAGCCAAACAGCATTTTCTAATCTGAACAGTGAAGAGTAACAGAGCCACATTCAGAACTGCACACTAAGTCTTCCAGCAGCACGTGTGCAGGACAGAAAGAGAAACAAAGAACAGAAAGAAACCTGAACACATAAGATCAGAAAATAAGAGAAAAATAAACAATTATGCATTACCATGAAAAAGCCTTCTCCCCCATTCATTGACTGGAATCACAGCAATCATTTCAACTAAGATCATTGTGTTTTTGTTTTTGTTTTTTTTCAATCCATCTGCAAACCACAAGGTACCAAATTCAGCATGGGTGTAACTCATCACGCTGTCAGAGGTGCACCAAAGCAGAATGTGTACCAGGCTGTAATATTAATATTTTCCCACCTTACGAACCCCCCGGTGCTCATTTAGTGGGGACACAGCGCTCTCCGCCACAGCCGTGCCCTGATAAAAGAGACCTTTGTCTGCTCACCACTCCGCTGTCTCAGGGAAACAACACAACTGGCTTTAAATTTTTCAACTCCTTTACATTATTTAAGAAGAAAAGAAATGCTTACAAGTACATATCCTTCTGCAAATAAGCTTCCTCAACATTCCTTCATATTTTCCATAGCGTGCCCAGATGTAAGAGTGCTTCGCAGAGAGCCGCGGCTTTCAGTCCAGAGCATAATCAATCACTGCCCCCCGTATTCATTAAGCATGCTGTCTTCGCACATGGATTTAAACAGCTACGGCCTCAGTCCTCTCTAGCAGCTCTGTGGGATTCTCAGGAACATCCATTTCAGCCTGGGAACTGCAGTGCACTTGAGGAAGGGAGCAAGGGGAATGAGCAGCACACGCTGCAGCTGAGCTGCTCTGCCCGGCTGGGCTGGCTTGCACCAGGATCCAGCCTGGCTTTATCCCCTGGGAAGCGCTAACAGGAGCATCTCAACAGCTGTCATCATTTGGCCATGACAAATAAATTTAGTCATTATTCATTTTAGAATGTAACCCCTTCATGGCCTGGCCAAGGTGTAAAACAAGGTAAAGAGAGCATCAGTTGGTCAGGAACTGCAGCAGGTAAGGACCAGAGCTTTCTCTGCCTGAACCATCAGCTGGGACCTTTGAAAGCCAAGTGTCTGGGGTTCAGACTCCCTCCCTGATGAAGTGAGATGCCTTCTGGCTTTTAAAATAGAAATCACCTCTGTCCATACTGAAGATGCCCTGCCACAGCCTGCAGGAGTGACCACAAGGCACCACATCTGTCCTCACCCCGCTGCACTCATTTACCACATGCCCCAAATACAAGCCTTGGTGCAGAAGAAGAGGGCTGGCAACTCGTACACATCTCCTATGACAGCACAACATCTCCCTTCTCTCTTCACTTGTACATGAAACGTAAGCAGCTAAATCTTTATGTTGGCATCTAAGTGGAGGGGGCCTGGAGAAGCACTGTGTGCTGTGCTCTGGAGGTTTTCCACTTGGTTCTCAGCTCCTGACAGCAAGCTCAAAGGAGAACATTGATTTTTAATCAGAAAATTCTATCGAACAGCATGCAAAACAGTAACTGCAAAAAAATCAAAACTCAGACATCTGCACCTGTAAATCACTCATTTCAAGACAGCTGTCAGCTGGCTGTACAAAAGCATTGCCACTCGGCACTCTGGTACCTCCTGCGAACAGAAATCAGCCAACACATCTCACATTTTACCACAACTGCTGGTCTCTGACAGCAGTCTCCCCCTGAGGTTCAGGTGAAGGCCAGCCCTGGAGAAGCCCTCCTTCCTTCTGTCCCTAACACACAGGGATAGCACCACTTGCTGATGCTGAAGCACATCATTCCATGCTCAAGCCCTGCTAGCAGTTAAAGCTCAACTTTCTGAAGACCCAAGGGCCCCCTCTGAATACAGAGGACACAGAATGCAAAGCCACCAAAGGCTATACAGTATGCTTCCAAGTCCCTCCTTACTCCTCCTCCCAACCAACAAAACACAGCCTGCATTTAGCCAACATTTTCTCAAGCAGCTTCCTTGGGCAACTCAGCCTCATCCTCATGTTCACAATACAGCGATGATCATCAACCTGAGATAAGGTGGTACTCAGTGCCAATCCAAGGATATCATGCCAGGCCAGTGGATAAATGTTGGGTTTTTATTTTTTAACAATCCTCCTAGTAACAGCAGGCTGTACATTAATCCAAAAAGTTGCTAGAAAATGGCATTCATCTTTTTAGTTG